TAGTATAATTTTCCACCCGAAACCCTATTCTAATTATTAAGGCCCCTAGATTATACTACCCTTATATTATAGATCCCTTTTAGGAACCTCCCGTATATAGACCCGTTTAGAGGAACCCTATCCTTATCATAAGGCCCCACATTAGAGCCCTGAAGCATGGGCCCATGTCAGGTCCCCGATCTCAATGGCTTCGAACTGAAGCCGTGCCCTGGGTTTAGAGTTTAGGGTTAGTGTTGAGGGTTTAAGGGTTTAGGGTTTAGGATTCCGGGGGAAGAGACTGGCGATTTGGACCAAGGGTTTCAATGATGGTGAAGCTTTCTACTTCAGGAGTTTCGGTGTGTTTTCCCGAACTTTGACAGAGACATCTTAGATTGTGTGGGAAATTCGGCAGAAATCGCCCTGAAACTCCAGTCCATAAGTCCCGAACCCCCAAAACCAAACCAAGCCCGACACCTTAGATCACCTTGGGCTCGGCCTGGGTTGTACAGGGCTCGTCCACCCCGCAAATAGATTTCACTGGATGCATCAGTACATTCGACTATCACCCAAGACCCGATGTGAGCATGACCACTGTAAACGTCGTGGCTGCACATGGCAGCAAGGTTGTCGAATCCTGTAGGCAAGCTCTCATCTCCTACTACCACCTGGGAGTTTCCGAGAATAGGGGACCCTAATATAGTACCCTAAATAGCAGGATCCTTGTGAGAAGGATCCCCCAAATAAGGTACCCCAATTTTCGGAAACTCCCACCTGACACTAGCAAGGCTTCGGATCCAATAACTCATTTCTGCGAGGGCTTTACCCTGGAGCGAGAGTCGTGGGATCAGAATTTATGTCAGGTTTGGAGCTGCAGCTAAGCCCCGAAACCTTACATGCTAGACTTCCTCCTGCGTTTCAAAGAGCCCGAAACGGCGCCTAAGAGCCAGACAAGGGGGTTCGAGGCCTTGCAAGATCAGCTTGAGGTTTAGGGTTTCGTGCGTGGTTGATTGATGAATGGAGGAGCCCGAGAGAGAGAGAGAGAGAGAGAGAGAGAGATCAGGTCAGGTCAACGCATACAGTGCTACAGCACATCAAAAAGCACCGATGATGATCGGGCGTCGAGGTATGTGTCACGCAACACGCCTGTCATCAGCAATGCGCAGTGCCGACGCGATTTGCCTTCGCCTTTGTTTGTGTGGCTTTGGGGCTTAATATCTACTAATTAAGACACCTAAACTCTAAACCTTACTAGTCCTAAACCCTAAAACGGCAGCCCTCAACCAACCGTAAACCTCAGCTTGGTAAGCCTATGCCTGATACTGGAAATCACAAGACCCTAAAGGGTTTTGAGACGAATATCTATCCCCAGGTTTCGGCAAACAGCAGGAAGTGCAAGATCGTGTAGGTGCTGATTTGTATGAGTCGTTGACCAGACTGATTATCTTGCGATGGGCGTGCTTTGCGGTCCACAAGTCCCGGCAGTTTGCACATGTCCGTTTCTGTCTCTTTCAGCACAGTGCGGTGCTGCAAGTGTATTCGCAGATGACTCAGGTCTGGAGTGCATTCACTTAAGCTTCCTTGCAACTACGACCGTGTCGAAGTGGGGCTTGCCGTGGAAGCTGTGCCGTGCGACTTGCCCCTTGCTGTTGGAGTGGGCTGTGCTCATGTCTTCCCTGTAAGCTTCGGCCTCCAGCTGAAGAGGGTTCGCAGGGGTTGAAGGGTTCAGGGGTTTTGGGGCTAAGGTTGAGGAGTTAGGGGTTTAGGGCAAGTTTAGGGTTCGGGGGTCTCGGGGTTAGGGTTCAGGGCTTAGGGGTTTGGGGGCTAGGGTTCAGGGATTACGGGCCACTGTCGGGGTGGGTTGTGTATCCCGCAGACCTACCAAGCAAGAGGGTCGGGTCATGTTGCAACCGCTTCAGCCAAAGACTCCGCAACTGAAACCTGCAGTCCTGCACAGGCAATGGTGTTCTGAGCTAGCACCTACACCTGCAAAGGCTTCATATGCCTCAAACCTGGTACCTCCAAATCCCTACATCGCGCTAAACCCAAGCTTGTGCCAGGCATCCTTACTGGCAGTCCGGCAAGCTGGCACCTTACAGGGCTTGGTCGGGCTGATGGACAACGTCCTGCAGTACCTCAAACGGTTTAGGGTTTTGCTTAGTGTTCAAGGTTTGGAGTCTAGGTTTAGGCTTAGGGTCTAGGGGAAATGAAATGGGGTAAAGTCGGTTTTTGTCCATCAACAGCACGATTTGGGCTTTGGACACTTGGGGCCGCTTGGGGTTTGAGATTCAGAGTTTCCGGGGTTTACGGTTGCAAGGCTTCAGGGCTAGAAGGGTTTATGGTCTGGGTGGAGTCTCAAAGGCTCTGTCTCATAACCCTGAAGCCGTAAAGATGGAAGGCTTGGAATAGACCTGGTTGTCAGGTCCCAGTCTAAGTGCCCCGCCCTGAGTTTTGAGGTTTGCGGCTTATGCAGGTGATGTTCCATGATCGATGCATTTCGCCAACAGCATAGTCAGAGCGCGTGAAAGCCCCGTTCAGAGCCTACAAAAAAAGCTTAGACAATTGTAGGGGCTCGGGGCTCAGGGTGGCTTTGGTAAGTAACCCCCTACTTTGAAACTCCACACCCCAGATCTTGGAATCCCTCAGGCTTAAGATCCCAAGAGGGCTTAGGGTTTGGGATAGGCTACGGCTGCAGACCATCTCTAGTACGGTTTTGGGGGAGCGCTGGCTCTTGTATGCGTAGCGTTGGGCCATGGCTTGAGCTGGCTTTTGTATGTTCGGGGCTGAGGGCACAAGGCACAGAAGTTCACAGCTCAGAAGCCATCCCTGAAGATGCCTCGAAACAGCATCACAGAAACGAAGCTTTCTTCAGGGCTTCCCTAAGGGTTCATGTGTCCAATAAAGCTAACCAACAATGAACTCAAGCGATCTTCAAACCGAAACACTAAACCGAAACTGTCTCAATATCACGTCATTAAGAACGAGACCCTACAAATAGAAGGTGATAGCCTCAAACATCCAGCGGTATCAGTCGGAGTAGGCCTTCCGCACAGTAGTTTGTTAGTTGTTGCCCCTTCACCGGCCCAAGCGAAGGAGGCGGCATCGCAGATAAGGAACGCTGGGGGGGTCAAGGTCTCTTAGAGCATGAGAGCAGGGACTGCAGTAGTTACTGGAATGATCTGTGACGGTGCAGCACACAAGGCGGTCTGGGTGAATGACTGGAGCTTCCGGGACAAAGTGTTGCAGTTTTTGCGCTAACCGGAAATTGCAAAGCCAGTTCAGGTCACCCAAGTGAAACTCGCGAAGGATGGCCTGAGAGTGGGATCAGTTCTAAGAGGCAGAGCTGGGAAAGTCTTCTTGCTTTTGCCAGGGTTTGAGCTGAGCCCGTGACGAAGCTTACACCAGTGAGCTCGGCTCTTGAAGTCACGTTTGCTGCCTTTCCTCCCGTCTCAGAACAGTTGAAATCGCTGGATACGATCCCTGAAAACCTGAACTTCTACGAGCGCTTGGAGATGTTCAAGGACGCGAGCTGCACCAAGTACCAGCAGCTCCGTTGGGTGTCAGCCCGGGTGGTTGGGGCCGGCGGCCTCGAGGTTGTCAGGTGTAGGGCCCAGGGCTTGGGGCCTAATGTAGGGGCCTCAATAATTACCTATACTATTCCCGGGGGTTCCTAGTTATATCTATAGTATAATGGGCCCCAAAACCCTATTCTGATTATTAAGGCCCCTTTTTTTAGCCTCCAAGGTTTAGAGTCTAGGTTCAGTGTTTGCTGTCAGAAACTTCAAACTCATGGCCCTGAAGCCTCGGACCCGGAACCTTCGACGTTTATTAAAGCCTACGAAAATCCTAGCCTCCAAGCCCTAGAGTCCCTAGAGGTTTACACTTTAAACCCTTATAGTCAAAAAGGGTTCCCTAGACCCTTAACCCTTAACCCGAAACGGTCTACAAGCCATAGACCTGAACTCCTTACCTCCCAAGAACACCCAGACTCCCCCCCGAAGTTCCGCCTTGCTTGAGGTTTCAACCTTGATCGCGGCTCTCAGCAGTGAGCTTCGGCTTGGCGGCAGCGTTCTCATCAGTATTAGGGTTATTATGACGATGACTAAATGTTAGTATTCTATGGCTAGTTGATGTGTTATGAATATGATGGTGGTTGTCATAGTAGTTGTATTGTTGCTTTTGTTATCACTTTTATTATTGCCAGCATTGTATGAACTTCTGCTACAGCTTGCAGAGGCTGCCCTGTAGTACTTTAGGGTTTAGGGTTAAAGATTTGGTGTATAGGGTTCAAGTTGTAGTGTTCAGCGCTAGGGGCTAGGTTATATGCTTTCGGCCCGCTGAACTGGCGGGCACGTGTGAATGGACACCAAGCCATTGCTGTGACGTTTGCACCGCGGGCGGAACAACCTTCAAGTGCTGGATATGGTAGAATCGAATACACTTGAATATACGGCGAAAAGCTGTGGCGTTTTTCCACATAATATCTACTGTAAGATGTAGCCTTTAAGTCTTCAAGTGCTGGCTCCGGTTTTTGTGTCGAGGGATGGTTTGGGGGTTGGTTTTGTGGCGTTTTTTTAGGCTTGGGGTTGTCGATTCTGGGATCTGGGGAGTTTATTGCCGCAGTTACAAGCATCAAGGCCCCTAGTTGAAGTCTTCTGCTGCGCGATGTCTGCTATCCCAGATCCGGAGTGCCCCTCGCCTACTTCGTTTTCATGTGGTGCACCTCGGGGGCCAGATGAGGGTCAGGAAGAGCAGGTCGACGGGAGGAGGAACAGGCTTGAAATCCTGGCCCAGATTGCAGGCAGCTGCGAGTTCACAAACAAGGACCTTCTTCGTGCTGTTCCGGCCAGCCGAGTCCTCCGCGGCTTTGGCCGTATGCTTTGGGGAAGTCGTATAGATCCTTCACAGCTTTACGGCACAAGTGCTCGCGTGGAGCGGATTGAGGAATTCTGGTCACACAGCTGGAGGGCATCGGTCTTTTGGAAGGTTTGGTTCCTTCTCATGCTGAAGAACGGCAAAGCCGCATGCATCGTGGGTTCCGTTGTTGCCTTTGTCATGGCGTGGCTGACTCTGCCGGGCTGGTACATCTTGCCTTGGAACACCAGACCAGGATTCGAGATAGAGCAGCCGGGGAGCAGTTAGAGGGCTCTTCTACAGGAAGCTATCATTCCAGACCAGTCCTTACCGTAGCTACCTCTTAGGGTCCCTCAGGCACTTTTGCCTCTGTTGCCTTCTCTTGGGGCGGTGGGAGGGAAGGGGGGTGGAGCTGAATGCTTCTTGATGACGTCCATGTACGAGATTGGAATGACGATGATGGTAATCGGTAAGCGCTGGCAGCCGCAACATTCGCCAACAGATACTGCTGTATGGACGCAGCGAGAAACTGTTGCGATGTGGTTTTACAGATATGGTTTTGAAGGATCGGTTCGGGAGGTCGAACTCTCGAGTTATTAATTTCGAAACGGGAATGGTTCTCGAATTTCCGAATCGCTGCTTCAAAATTGTATCTGCAAACCACGTCGCAGCAGTTTCTCGCTGCGTCCCCACAACTGCAGTTTTTGCCGAAGGTCCGAATTCATCGCCCGTGCCTGCGCTTTCCCAGGTTACCGATACATGTGATAGCACCCGGAAGTGACCCTGCCTGCACCAACATTCTTGAAACAGGCCGTCCCAAAAAACTTCGGGGCAAACGTGCCCTGCGTCCTAATTCTAGACTAGCTATAGTCTGCACGTCTGCAAAAGGAATCCTCCAAATCAGAACGCCCCTTCTACAGCTCGGGGTTTTCTCTTTATGGGCCGGGCTTCGACTAGAGCATTTAAGTGCATCATCGGTTTTCATCCGCGACAGGCACAGACACAGTCCTTGGTGCCTTATCAGCGGGCTGGCAGCTGCGTTCCTTACCTTGGTTTTCTGGCAATCATCAGTTCAGTGTTTCTGGATCGTGCTTGCATTCATCAGGGTGATGCTCGGCTGAAAGCGGAAGGCATCTTCAACCTCGCCGCCTTCCTCAAGGCATCCAAGTCTCTCGTGGTCGTTTTTGATGAGAGCTACCTGTCGAGGGCTTGGTGTGTTTTCGAACTTGCAGCCTTCATCAAAAGCCATGAGGGTGAAAGTCCACCGCCTGTGGTCATCAAGCATATCGCTGTCGCACCGACCACCGCTTTCTTGATCATCACGATAGCGCTGCTCAATCTATACTTTTCATGTCTACCCGCGGCGGGCTATCTCTTCTACATTCTTATAGTGTTCATGATGGCCTTCGCGATCTCAATGCACATCATGCTGTTGCAACTGTGCCAAAACTGCTTCTTTATACAGTGTTGTTCGGTTTTTAGCAGTTTTTTACCTATGCTAAGCCCCTAGAGTCCCAGAGCTGATTAAGTCAATTCTCATATCCACTCGCCTTCAAGCATGTAAACGGCGCACAGTCTGCAGCTAGTTCGGAAGACCACGCTTGCCACGCAACTTAGAAGAGACTCTACCTGCGCTAAAATCCCTGAACCCTCATAAACACCACTGTCTAAGCAGTGGGCCTCGAGCTATTGCTTGTAGTTGCAAAGCCCCAGTGCAGCATCATAGGCGAATTCAGCGAGACACCCTCAAGGCCGAAAATGACTTCAAGAGTTTCCGGTGGGACGCCTGCACATGCCAATGCTGCTCCTCAGGGTAACTTGGCTCTTTCTGGTTCCAGTAGACATACTTCATATGTACACGTTTTACACTTATCCCCTAAACCCTAAACAAGCTCGAACCGAATCCCTACGGCAAGTGCGCGGAAGCGAACTTGAGCAAAGCCGTTTCGATTTCCGGGACCTGCTCCTCCCAAATCGACGCGCGATCCACGTAGGGCTCCGAAAATAGGAAAATGTCAGGCATGTCTACATCTTGATTGCTAAGGCACGAAAGAGATGGTGTGGCAATTCCCTGTGACAAGGAAATCTTGGCAGAATGCATTGCCAGATGGTTTGGCTAAATTGACGCTTTCGAGGGGTGTGTCAGAAGCAACATTAGTTCAATATTCATGAAAAAACTACGCCACCAGCCTCTTGGTTATCATTGGCTGCTGGCAGCAACGTCTTTCATTCTGTGGTACAATGCAGACATGGCCATGATGCGGACAAGCTCCGGCGATTACCACTATGCTGCATTTATGGCGGCGGGTGGATTGAGTTTTTGGAGCTGCGTTGTTCCCACCCATTTTGTTGTTTTCGCTGCTATTGCCCGATGGCAGGATGGTGGGAGGCGTCCCATGTTACGACGCATGCTTGCCATGAGCGAAGCCATACTCAACGTGCTCAGTCCTCACCTTTTCCAATATGTGTGCTGGCGGCTTATTCTTCCTAACCATGTGTTGGCATTCATTGTGATTGTTTCCGGATATTGGTTCGCTTCGGCGGCAGCTGTCTGGCTGCTTCGCGGCCTGAGGAGCTAGACCGGAGCATTGGTGCATGCAGACGTGTACCCACAAGGATCCGTTTGCTTTGGTCTGTACAGATATATCAGATCGAAACGAGGGTCCAGAGGACTTTGCGCGATTAAGTTCGTGCAGTGCAGCCGTTTCCTTGGGGATCGTTTCCGTTGGTCAGTCTAGATATCAGACCAAAACGAGGGTCCAGAGGACTTTGCGCGATTGACTTCGTGCAGTGCAGCCGTTTCCTCCGGGTCCGTTTTCCTTGGTCTGTTTAGATATCAGACCAAAACGAGGATCCAGTGGACTTTGCGCGATTGACTTCGTGCAGTGCAGCCGTTTCCTCTGGGTCCGTTTTCCTTGGTCTGTCTAGATATCAGACCAAAACGATCCAACACGAGGTACACAGGACTTGCGATTGTTTTCGCGCAGTGTAGCCGTTTCTTCGTGCCGGGTCCTCAGTTGTGCAGGCTTGAACTCAAGAACAGCAGCGTCATAGCACAAGCGACCGCAACTGATCGCCATCGTTTTAAGAGCCTTGCCTGCGTTGCGGAAGATCCCTCGTAATTCGGCGGAATCCATTCTTTGCCATGAGGCTTTCTGACAGAATAGAGCATGTCATGTCTGATTGTCAGCAGCAACATAAGGTTGCACGTGGCCCTGCAGCATGAGTGTGCATGAGCTTCATGGCGGAATGATGTCTGTAGTGCATCGTAAGGTAAGGCTGCTATGATTTGAAAAGCACGCGGCCTCAAAAGCCGGACTGCAGCATTGGTTCATGCGCAGACAACGAGGGATCCATTTGCCTGGGTCTAGATATCGGTTACAGACCAGGGTCTGTAAGACTTTGCGCGATCGTGATGCAGCAGCAACGTAGGCTGCCTGAAGCGTCGGTTTCATGGCGGCATGATGTCTGCACCGCTGAAAATGTGCAAGCTTTGCGCTCGCTAAAGGGGTGCGAAGCCATTCGGGAGATCTGACCGCTACTCCTTGACTTCCCGGGCTGCGGCATCACCTAACTTCGTAGTCCGGAGAGAAAGGCTCTTCAGCTCGTCTTGCCAAGTTTTAAGCCTGCATATTGCAGAAGCTGAAGGCAAACATCAGAAACCCTGCCTGCTCGGATGGAAAAGGCAAGCCGAACATCAAGAAATCAGGCCAGAGCAGGCTTCCCACTGGTGGCCAAGATTCTCCCAAAACCAACGTTATATAAACGCTAAATCCTAACAGAACCGGCCGACTTTCCGCTTTTTGCCTTCCTGGATACATGCAGGCAGTGGGACATGCTCGACGGTGTGGGAGTTTAGAGTTCAGGGCCTGGAAACACCTGCAAGGCTTGAAGATCCGTTTGTGTATTATTCTCAGTCTATTGTATAGACTTGATTCGTGCTCGTCACGAGCCAAAGCCCATGGCTGGCAATGTTGTTTCCCCTTCGATATTTTCTCAGGTTTGTTCCAGCGGGGGTGACTATCCCTCGGCTTGCCAAGCTGTCGATTTACTCCTAAACCAACCCATATCTGAACCCCGAACCGTCGGCTCCACCCTTATAATGGTTGGAATAGGGCTTTTGGGGTGCATGCGGACAGAAGTCGGAGGCAAGTACAACTGATGATGCTTTGGGAATAGGGTTTGGGAGGCTTTACCCATAGGCCCCATGGTAGTTCCTGTGTGGGATTACCTAATGGGATTCTAAATATGAACCCCGAAAAGGAACTACTATGGGGCCTATGGGTAGACTAGGTTCCCTGAAACACTAGATGCGGGTTTATGTATATACCTAGGCCGTACCCCTAAATGGACATGCTCTTCCATTGGCTCATAGGACAGGGCGCCAGCTGTGAGCAGATCCGGGCCATGAGACCGGAGGAATCCTATACGTGCATCGCTATCGTCGACGACAGCTATGTCCTATGTAGAGAAGAATTTTACATGTTGAGCATGTTCGACTCGAAGCGACGAGACCAGAGCGCTTACAGACGTCATAGCTGCAGTGCGAAAGGGATCCACGCGGTGAGATCCTCTGAGTTGTTCGGGGGGTTTGGAATAAGACTGCCAGACCAGCGGTTCGGCTGGGCGTTCCGATTTTGGCCATGGGCGAGCTGTCCCAGGAGGTGGACGACCTACTTTATGGCGACGGCCCCTCGGTAAGAGATGGCCCCCAGGCTTCCCGAAACCCGGATGGCCGCAGCCCTCCTCACAGTCACAGATGAATTGCAGGTCCTACACTCTCAACTGACCTTCATGGTCCATGTAAGGGTTTTGCGATGTGTTGCGGAGTTCAGAACCGGGCATACCAGAGCCTTGCATTTTAGGGCTTCCTGGTTCGGGGTTCTCCTACATCCGAGTTTTTTCGCTTAGGGTCACACGTCGAAGCGCAGTCAGAGTGATGATTTTCTCAGCTACAGGGACTGTAGACCATGAGAAGTGTCATAACGTTGATCATCGCAGAGCTGTTCTCCTCAGATTCGATTGCAGTCGTAGCGTCATCAGCAGAATCAGCATGCCACGTGTTGTGGATTTCGGACTACTCTAGGGTCGTTTGTGCAGGATGCATTGTGGCAAGGTGCAGAATGTAAACGTTGTTCCTTTTTGCTCCTGTACCAACCACCCGAGCCAAGAAACGTGCTTACACTGGAAACCCTGTTACGACAGACCTAACAAACAGAATAGTCCTCGTGTAACCTCAAGAATCAACAGATTCTGACTGCTAAGACCCCAATACCAACAACTGTGAAGCCCGTGCCTTGCAACATATCCTATGCGACCCGTGGATAACCGTAGAAGCCTCCGTAGCACCCCTGAACTTAAGTCAGTCAGGTCAGTTCAACTTCCTGGATGAATTCAATACACAGGGGTCCCAGCAGCTTGGTGGCAAGGGAGCACGGTATGAAAGTGGTAGAGAAGCCTTGGTGCAGTTTTGGGTTTAGGGATTTTCGGGCCATGGTGTTTCGGGCCTTGATGTAATGTAGTGATCTTGTTTCGCAAATGTCCCGGAAAGGAAGTTTAAGGCCAAGCATGGACTTGAATAGATGTTTGTCCCGTGACTGCGGCTCCAAAGGCCTACGATACGGGTAGTTGAATACTAGTTGCAAAGATCCCTATATTATGGGCTTTTGTCAAACTTAGGGTCCCTTTTGGGGCACCCTAAATATTAGGTGCCGTACAATATTAGGGACCCGAAAAGGGACCACAATTGTGACAACCGCGCATATTGGGGCCTCGATCTGCGGCTTCTTCGGGCTAGATCTTTTTGGCTGGACACGCGGGGGTTTGAGGAGCTTTGGGTTTAGCTTCGGGTTTAGGGTTTGAGGTTTAGGGTTTAGGGTTAGGGTTTGGGGTTTAGGGTTTGGGGTTTACAGTGTTCGAGTGGTGGTAGACGATTCCAATAATCCAAGGGTGCAGGAAGCTCACCAATTCTGCAATGTCGGAGTTTCCGAAAATAGGGGACCCTGATATAGTACCGTAAATAGTAGGATCCTCATTATAGAGACCCCAAAATGAGGTACCCCTGTTTTCGGAAGCCCCCAAGTGAATCAAGCCACAGATACGATGCATCAAGCCTTGCACTGTGACATACAAGGAGCTATAGTTCCCTTACCTGAAACCCTACTTAAAAGGTCCCCAGATCAGCATAAAACCACCCTTGCAGCTAAACTCTTAAGCCCATGAACTGCCATAAACTAAACCCTGAATCCGTAAAGCCCTAAACCTCTGAACCTCAAACCCCTGAAGCACTGAACAGAAAAGCCCATAAGCCTGGATCATTGAGGTTTGATGGCTTGAGCCAGAACACGCAGGATAACCCGTATGACACCACTCAGGGCACACAGGCCGGTCTCGTCGCCACTGCATCGCGTTGGGGAGCCTGGTGGCTTCAAGGGGCTTACGGTTTTGCAGTACTGTCGGACTTCTTAGGAGTTGTGTAAGGGTCCTATAGTACATGAGCTTATAAGGGGCTTAACGTGTTAGCTGTTAGAGTCTTGGAGCGGAAGGCTGAAGTTTGGGGGCTTAAAGTTTCATGTCGAGCGTCCTGGGGTTGAGAGTTACAGTTGTTGGTAGCCGGATGAGTTCCGACAGCTACCAAAGTTCCTCAGCTGAGGTGTCTGACTCTAAGCAACTGAAGGACTGTGTTTTAGGGTTTCGGGTTCGGGAACCCAAGCACATGTGAGCTTTAGTAACCTTGGAGTCATAAGCAGCAGCTTGCTTTTTTGTGGCACCGCGACAAAGAAGCCTTCCGAACACCCGAACCTCAACTCCAAACCCGAAGCCCTAAACCGTCAAACCCCAGGCGCCAGATCCCAAACACTACGTCCTAACATCCCAAGTCTCTCTAATCCTCCGTGATACGACAGGATGGGACACAGGACGACCCTCGATCTCAGCTCAGCCAGGTCGAGGGGACGTGGATGGGCGTAGAGGGCCTTAGGGTTTAGAGGGTTTAGGAGTTTAGGGTCTAGAGTTCAGGGTTTGGAGTTTTAGGGTTTGGGGTCAAGGGTTTCAGTCGGGTGAACGGTCTGGGGCTTGCGCGTTAATGGCTCAGCGTTCAGGGATTGGGTAGGGGCTTTACACGGTCTAGGGTTTGAGGTTCACTGCTGGAGGTTCCGATTTTACATCGTCGAGTCAGCCTCGTAGCTTCTGGGGATTCAGCGCTTTCTCGAAGCCTTAAACCCCGCACCCAAATTCATTAAGAGGGCCATGCCAGAAGATGTAGTGACTTGCAGCTCGGGTTGTAAAGGCGCGGACTTCATGACTTCAGCTGATATTTCGAAAGTCTTGTTCCTGCAGCCGGCAACACAAGAATATTTAGGGTTTGAGTGTTTCGGGCTCGCTGGTTGGCTTTAGTGTTTAGAGCTTGGGGTTCTGGGCCTCCCGGTAGAAGTCGTAGAATCAAGGGTTTAGGGTTTAGGGTAGTCGCCGAGTCGTCGCCGTTGCAGCAACAGGTGCAATCGTCGTCATCGTCGCAGTACCCTCCTACTACTCTACAGGAACACATGTGGATGAAACTTTCAGAGACAAGTTAAAGCCATCATCTCCAAGATGTGTTTCAGGAGGCCGATACCATGCTTCTTAAAATAGCCCATCACGAAGGCTAGAAGCCCTTGAGCCAGCAACAATCCCTACACTCCTTAAACCACCAGCCGCCTCTTGACCGAAGTTCTGGGTTTTAGGGGTGTAGGGTTGCAGGGATTTAGAGGTTTAGGGTTGAAGGGATTCAGGGCCTAGGGCTTTTAGGGTTTGCAGTCTGGAGTCTAGGGTCTGGGTGTTTCAGAGGAGCCCGTCGTCTCGCTCCTGGACCAGACAACCGCGGAGCTTCAGTTTGATGACCTGGATTTGAACCAGGCCCCCTGCTTGCGAAGGGGTGGAAGATCCAATATTGCAGGGTTTGGAAAGTTTAGAGTGTAAGTTAGGGTTTTGTGGTTTCGGGTGTTGGATTTTCGGGTTTAGGGTTTGAAGGGGCTTGGGGTGGGAGTTTAGGGGGGTGGTGGTTCTAGTCTTAGGGCTTAAGGATTTTGGAATTGGGATTTCAGGGCATTTAACATTCATGTATTTTTCTCCTCATCTGGGCATGCTTTGACATGTCCAGAAGAGCCCTCGGGCTGAGGCTCTGGACGGGTTTTCGCTGGTACTGAATTTCAGAAGTTTGGGATGTTACGGCCGTCTCATCTGTGCCCAGTTCGCCCAACGAGTTGAGACTTTTCATGGCCTTGCAGATGGGAAGAGAGCGATGGCTTGCCTTTTCCTAAGCCCTACATCCGCCTCCGTATCGACTCTCGCCGGAATGAACTGTGAGAGTGCCAGTCATAGGGCAAATCAGGCACTACTCCCTGTGTTGGGAGTTTGAAACCCCAGGTACATACCTTCGGCGACCCTGTACCTTATACGATTAATACCCATTTTATAGGGCCCATATACAATGTTTTGAGTGGTTAGTTGAGGGTCCTGGTATAGAGCCCTGTGTCAGGAGTTTGAGCCTCCCTATGACATCAAGGACACCAGCTTCGGGGCTCCCTTGCAACCAGATCTCGGGGAAGGGCGCGAGGGTGCAGGGTCCTTTTGGTTCCATGAGTTATAAGTTGCGGGGGTTAGAGCTTAGGGTTTGAAGTTTAGGTTTGGATGTGGGTTTTAGGGTGTTGGATGTAGGTTCTGACGTTTGAAAGGGTCGAGGAGTAGCTTTGTAGAATTGTGGTTTGCCTTACCTCGCCTTTGGACATGCAGGACCCATCATTAGCATAACAACTCATGATTGTGATTATGCAAACCATAACATGCTATAACTGTAGTTACCTGCTTCCGAGCCTCCTATCCTCCTTAACTCCACATGTATTTTGCTGCGAAACACAAGTGAATCATTAGTAATTAGTACTCTGCCCTAGAGTCCTTATGCAACTAACTACGTACTCAAACACACTCAAAGACCACGTTTTCATGATTCAGGCCCCTACATTACTTGAATACCCTGATAAGATCCTTGAAACCCTGACACAGCTTCACCCTAAGAAACCTGCCTTTTTAGGGCTCCTTAACATGATTTCCTTGTATGAGTCCTTAAAAAGGTAGGTTAGTCAGGGTTAGGGCAATTTCTGTGAAACCTTCTTTTTGGAAGCCTGCTTGGAGCCTGAAGGAGTTGCCAGAGCACTACTGCCGTTACTGTGGCATCCACAGCCCCGGCAGCGTGATGAAGTGCCGAGGTTCGGGTTGCTGGTTGTTGTTTGCTTCTAGGGTTTTTGAGTTTTCAGCAAGGGGGTGTGTGTTAGGGTTCGGGCTGTTGGTGTTTTCCGAGTTTAGGTTTCCGAGGTGTAGGGTGTAGACCCTATGCCCTGCACCTGGGAAACCAAGATCCCTAAAAACTGTTGGGGAAGAAGGGCTTTCTGTCGGGATTCCCTATTGAAGGGCTTAATTTAAGGCTTCGCCTGAAGGATGAGGGGGGGCTTGGTGAGTGGTAATACAATGTAAGGTAGAAATGGTTGCATGAGTTCAAACAATGCACACCTGGAATCCCAAACCCTAATTCCGTCAATAGCCCTGCTTATTTACATCCCCAATTCCACCCTCTGGATAGGGCTCGGGGAGTCTAGGATTTTGGATTGGGGTTCAGGGGTGGTGTGGGGTTTGTTGAGTTTAGGGCTTCATGATTGAGGAGCGCACCTTGCACCCAAAACACCCTGTTTACAGATTCTAGGCCCGCTGCAACACAAGAGCCATTCGGCAGGTGACGGGAAGTAGTTCTGCAAGCCAGAGATCAAGCCAGGAACGCTGAAAGTCCTGAAGCCTATAGATGTACTCCCTAAACCTGCTTAAACCCTTTCGAAGCCCGCCAGGCTTTGTTTCGAGCCGTGCAAACTCATAGACGCCCGTAATTCTTGTGATACCCTTATAGATCCCTTATAGTAACCCTTATAGACCCCTTAAACCCCAAACCTTAAAACCCTAAACCCTAAATAAACCCTCAACCCCGACCCTCAGGTGATGGCAAATGGTTCTGCAACGTTCGACTGCCTGGCTTACCGAGCGCCTCAGCGACCAAAAAGCATTTCAAACGCCTGCGGGGTGTATATCCCCTGACCTACTAAGACTAAACCTCCATTGGGCTTCTTTAGGTTCTGATACCGAGGCATCGGATTGCTTTCGCTTCGAGCTCTGGAGGCCCCCCAACCCTGCAATCAACAGAGCCAAGGCCTACACAGGAAGCCCAGATCTTGATTTTCACCCTCAGGGTCCAAAAGATCTACTATTTCGGCACTTGTGTTGAGGATAGCAGTAGTGAGGGCTGGGACTTGCAGGCATATTGGGTGGCCAAACCCTCAGGCCTTAAGCCCCGATGTTAGACCCTAAACCCGGGACACCAAAGATATGGGGCCTAACGACCTACTGCGGATTGCGTTGGTATGTCTTTTTCTATTTTTTCCGATTCAAAGCCGTAAAGGTCATTGCACTTAGCAGACAAGTAGGGGTAGGCTAGTTCAGGGTACTAGTATTTCTGCTGTAGGGTTGGTATGGGCGCAATCATTTGACGGTAGTTGCCTTGCTCGTAACTCCACTTTAGAGTCGCTGATTCTTTGAGTAGAAGATCAACGCAGGTAGCTGCATCATTCTTCACCTGGTCCGTGCCAAGCAGAAGGAGGCACGACCAGGTTTTCTGTGCGGCTGAAGTTTAAATGCAGGTGCTTTTGGGTATGACAGGTTGAAGTCCTGGAGTCCTGGAGTTACGGTATGTGGAGCTGTTGAGTTCAGCTTCGGAATGGGTTGGAACAATCGGGCGGAGGCGATTGAAGTGGGTATCCAAAGGCCTCCCTCCCAAAGGGCCTTGCAGGAAGATTATAAGGGCTTCGGTCTAAAACCCTGTGACCCGCAACCCTAGCCCTTCGTTGTGTTGGGATCCTGTTTGGGCTCGAAGGACTGGTGTCCAAAACCCAATGCCCCGTCAGTCCTCACCGCATGCCAAACATCGACCAACTCAATGTGCAGGCGCGACACTTGAACTTTCTCCTGAGCCTTTTTTGGTCTTAAGGGCGCATCTGGTCAGTCCTTATGTGTGAGTTTGGACGGGGCGAAGCGAGAAAGAATCCGGGGCCGTGTCTTCTGGCCGGAGGAGGGTAAGCGCAATTGGAAGTCGCAAAACCTGGAGCACGCAATGCTTCTCACTCCCGCGGCGTGACGAGGCTGAGCCAGCAAGTTCGTGTCGCTCCAAGGCAGCCGATCGCATGGCGGTATTTTTCCGAACGGATCGACGACTCGCCGTGCCGCACAGGGACGCCTGTGACGCTGTACGTACTTCCCTGGAACCTGCCGACGATGTCACCGAAAGGAAGGCTACAGGACCAAGATGTTGTGTTCGATTTTGCTGCTCTTCATCTGTGGTCATATCGTTGTACTCAACAATTTCGATGTGCCCAACATGTCTGCCGTTTCATCAAACGCAGCAGGGTTTCTCCTTGCTCCCAAACTTGAAAACACAAGCACCTGACGTTCCAAACCGTAAAGCAGAGAACCCCATACCCGTTATTGAAAGGAAGCGACCTCGGACTATGTCGGGCTGGTTAGTGGCTCTGTTGGCTTCTGTGCCCCGAACCTAAAGCCCCGAGAGCTCTAAACCGTACAACCTAGAAGTTTTATACCCTGAGCCCTATAGATACTAGTCCGAAATCCCATTCTAATTCGGGCACTTGTAATCCCAAATCCTCGATCCTAACTCAGTAACTCCCTCAACCTAAGCCCTACATCCAAGACCCGACAAACCTTAAATCCCTAAAACCCAAGACCCATTGCCCACCCCCCCTCCCTCTGTGCAGGTCTCCTTGCACCCGGAGAGCACCTTGGGCGAAATCACCCTGGAGTGCTACAATTGCGGCCAGCGCAACGTCTTCCTTTTGGGCGCTTCCGCAGCATTTTTTTTTTTTTGGGGGGGGGGGGGGGGGGGGGGGGGGGGGGGGGGGGGGGGGGGCGGGGGGATTCAGATGGTCCGCGGTGCTGGGTCTAACTGTCAAGGCCCCTGTGTTACGAGCTTCGGTGCTGCTGCTGAGGGTGGCTCTAGCCCTAATCCTTTCTGAAGTATTTGGGAGTTTCCGATAATAGGGGGGGCCCTAATATAGTACCCTAAATAGTAGGATCCTTGTTGTAAAGTCCCCCAAAATAAGATACCCCCTAAAATTTCGGAAACTCCAATTTCGCATTATTTTGGTCGTTCAGAAACAAACGTTCAAAGAAAGCCTCAACCACAGGCCTTCGGAGCCCGAAAGCCTAAATAAGTACCTATACTATTTTGGGGGCTCCTTATTGTAATTATAGTATAATGGGCCCCAAAACCCTATTTTGATTAATGATTTATAAGGCCCCTATATTACAGACCTTAGCCTTCAGCAAGCCACAAGCCCCAATGATCACATACTTCAGGCAAAACGAAGACTGACCAAAGCTGTCTGGACGAGAATCGCTGAGAATCCCTATGCAGCCTCTGCAGCTAGACTTTCATAGATCCCAAATCGCTAGTCATGACCGAAGCCCCTGTGTTATGAACCCCCGGCCTTACACTGCACTAAGGCTTCATCGCTGCAAAAAGCGACTCAGTGGTGGTCTTGCTTTGCCGAATTTGCCTGTCCAACAATGCTTTGAAGGACTGCGGTAGGGCTTTGGGCCTAGGGTGGGCGGGCAGCGCACAATTTGTCTTTTGTTCGCTTGTTAATGCACTTTGGTCCGGCACGCTTACCCCATTGTCCAAAATTGTGTTCATTGTCTTGCGGTGTTGCCAGACACACTATTTCATCGTATAGCAGTTGTTGTGTTGTGGACTGGTGTCGCTGCAGTGTATGACGTAGCTCCCAGTTCACACAGGGTTTGTTTGGGAGGAGCTGAGCGCTACATTGCAGCACAACCCTACTTTTGAACCCTAAGCCATAAACGCCAAACCGCAACCCACGCAAGAGAATTAGTTGCTTTCCCCTGCAAGAAAGACTTTGCCACCCTGGTTGGTGCTTGCAGCTCTCTGTCTAAGCAAGCAAACATGCCAACATGCCTTAGCTGGAAGCCTACCCCATGCCAGGACAGGCATGTTGCCTTCTGAAGTTTGTAGGGCTATACCTGACTGAGGTAACTATGGTTCTATCTGTTTGCAGCCGTAGAAGGGTGCATAAAGACTTTCATATAACCCACTTACTAAATCTCCTAATCCCCTAGCCTATGAGCTCCAAACTTCTAACCTGGAATCCTCAAAATCCCACGAGACAACCGCGGAAAGTTCCAACCTGACAGGACTCGAATTGGGATCTTGCACAGTGGCAGCTGCTTGGACTTGAATCAGAGGGCTTCCAGAGTTTAGGCATTCGGGTTTCGTTTTGAGGGTGTTTTTGAGGGTTTGGGAGGGTCCCTTTATGGGTTCATTTTAATGGTGCGTGCGGGGGTTTACCGATTGCAGTCCCACACAAATCATCTGCCAAAGCCGAGGGGATCGTTGACGTCGGCGGCGGCATCGAGTAGCGGTATAGTAGCAGTAGCAGCAACTGCACGCCCACCATCCCAGCAGCACTTGCTAGAATCAGAATTGCAATGGTATGCTTACTTCGTCATATAGAACCCGAACCCACCCGGCCCCAACCCTTTCATCGCTGCAGAAAGCCTGAGGCCCCTCATCGAAGATCGAAGCTTCCTGCCTTGGCTGGTGAAGGTTCCCGATGCCAAGGCCCTGCTGATATGTGGGTGGTTGTCAAAATTAGGGTCCCTTTCTGGGTCCTTGTTATAGTATGGCACCTAATATTTAGGGTACCCAGAAAGGGACCATATTTTTGACAACTACCTATGTAGACGTCTACATCACTAACTGGTTATAATCTTTCCGTGTAGTTAGTCCTTGAAAGGAGTAGCATAGCACGCCCAAAATACCATGTAAACCCTTGGTGGTCAAGGCCCTTGTGTGACAGGAATTGATCAAGACTGGGCCGTATGAGCAGCCCTAAACCCTGGACCTATAAAGACTAGACGATGACCGTAAGAGACATAGACTCCGCATTTTACTACAAACCCTAAACCCTAAACCCTACGAACCCTGAAGTCGCAGATTCCGCGAGATGTGAGAGCTTTCCCAGACTGCGGCCCAGCTGGAAGTTACCTCAACCTGCGTGTTTGCAAGGTCGTTTTCTGAGTGAGGGCAGAATCTGCAGGGATCCTACAGTCAAGGAGGCTACGGTATTGTTGGCTTCAGGTGTCTAAGCATGGGCTTGAGGAGCCTGCTTTGCTTTGAAAGCAGATTGATTACCGGCAAGGGTCGGGGTCTCGTGCTCTTTCGAACACAGAAGCAGTGATGCTTGGGGGACAGGATGATGTACATAAAGCCGTGGACGCCAGGCTGAAACCCCCAACCCTCTATCAGTGGTATATAGATCCTGGCATATTTCAATCTCTGCGATGTAATATTTCTCTGTGTATCTATATATATATATATTGTATACATATGTCTCTCTCTCTATATATATATACATATATAAGTAAATATACAGACACAAAGTTAACATCCAAAACCCTGCACTGCCCCAGCGCCAGATAGTATGGGCCAGGAGCAGATGCGCTCCTGGAACATCACTGCCGCGCAGGCGGATAGATGCAGGGCAGCACACTCTAGACATCTTCAGAATACGGATAGATGCAGGGCAGCACGCTCTAGACATCTTCAGAATAGGGCTTGGGGTTTGGAGGGTTTAGGGTTTAGGGTTTTGATTGAGTAAGTCTAATTGTTGGTCTAAGTCATGGCTGCAGACTATTTACATCTAGGTTTTTGGTCTTTGACGCAGAAGTTTTCAGAAGGTCGAAAACCAATTCCGCAATTGGACGAGATGGGGGTTTAGGGCAAGTGCTGAGATCTGTTTACGACTTATGAGGTTCATGTCTTTCACAGAGAACTGCCAGGGTCCTAGATATCCTCAAGAGCCTTGGAATTTAGCGGATTTAACTTACTTGGAGCCCCGTGCATACCGCTACACTTGTTTCTGCTACTTCCACCAGCTTTGCCATACTAGTTTAGTGTAACACACCCTTCTTGTTGAGCTTAGACTGCAGCTTGATTTTCTGTAGATGCTGGGCTAGCTTTTCAGAGTTCAGCTTCTCCCGAGCCCGAAGCCAATTATCACATAAGTCGGAGCCTCAACAGCCGCCTCTAACGGGTTGGAACCATTTTCGTCCCGTCGATTCACCCTAACCCCTCAACCCCTGAACCCCTAAGCCCCTAAAGCCCTAAACCCCTAACGGCAGGCTTCTTCTGCAAGGATATACCAAGCCCCGGTAAGTTCTGGGCCTGAATAACTTTCAATGCTAATTTGGGGTTCCTTACTTTCGTCGTAGCATAAGGTACCCTGGGCCAAAACGATTCTAGTATCATCATTACTATTACTATTAGTATCAGTATTATTTGTCTTATTATCACTTGCATCAGTATTTTTGCCCTAAGTGGTATCTACCCGGTATTGCAACCGAAGCTTTTGGGTTGAGGATGCTGTCACTTCGCAGGTGAACAAACTCGAAGAGATGTGGAAGACGATGCTTGGGCTGAATTGCAATAATAGTCACGATTACAGGGAATCAGACCTGTAATGAACTTACCAACAGCTAGACTTGTAACAAAAAACCAGATAGTTTCAATAATGATGATTGTCTTGGGTTTGGGGTTTAGGAGCTTGCAGAGTTTCGGCGCAGAATCTCCTGTTTCTTTGTGGCAGCCGGCACACGCGCACCGTAAACTCCGCATGATCAAAGCTGACGCATACATAGCCTGAGGAGTGCTCGCAGCAGTTCAAAGTAATATAGGAGCCTCAACAATTACCAACACCATTTTGGGGTTCCTTGTTCGAATTATAGCAAAAGGAGCCCCCAAACCCTACCATATTACAGGATCGACAGGCCCCCATCTTCACATCTCATCTGCATTTCTCTATGGGCTGAGGGAGCCGAAGGGCCTCTAGCCAATTCAATCCCCTGATAGGCCCCCCGGCTTCAAGGCTTAGTAGCTGGCTGGATACATTCTACACATGTTGTGGGAGCAAACATGAAACGCTGAGGTGTTGATCTGAGCCCCAGTGCCCTTAAGCCCTGAGCTACAGCCCTATGTTTGTTTCCGTGAGGCTTCAGGTTTGGGGTTTAGGACCAGGGCTCAAGGGATGTAACCAATGTAGGGTTCCGGATAGTCTAGGGTTTCAGGCTCTGTGGCTTACGACGGCTGAAGCGACCCGAGCATTTCTTGTCAGCCTTGCACCCTCCACGACTCTAGCCGCGGAAGACCTACTACCTTAATGTGTTCCATAACCTGCTTTTCAAAAGGTTCCGAGTGGAGATTCTATATCAAGGCTTACCACGCCCCTACCAAAAAAGGAGGTATGGGTAGTTAAGGGCAAGATCTGGCCCTGTGTTCCTCGCTCTGCCTGCGAAGAAAGGAATCCTGATGCCAACTTGGAGGATCTGGAGGGGAAGGCCGGTCCAGATTTTGGAATTGTTGGGCTCAGTTGTTTTACAAGGGTGGAGGGATTCCAGAGCCAAATTTAAGGGCCTGGGGCTTTGGGGGGACTTAATTACATCCGAGTCCTGTCACCCCTACATGGATTCACCCTCCGCCAAAGGGCAAAGCAAATATAGCTCTTCTAGGCGTCGCAGCTCTCATGAGTCCTGTAGCCTCAGCCAAAACCCTTGAATCTGCAGGTAATACCGCTGATGTCCCATAGCCGCTTCCTCAAACTCAGCCGTGCACACCTTAAGCACCCCAAAGCCTCACCCTCGTCCACAATGCCCTTACTGTGGCCTCAAAGCCAATCACCACAGCCCAGCCCTACAGGTGACTTGCACCCCTTCACTAGGGCCTAAGCCGTCAACCTGAAAGCCGGGGACCCCACATTCTAGTTATCCTTAACGATACAGGTTTGATGAGGGTTTTGTAAGGTTCGATATATGAGCCTTCATGATTGGTCTAAAGTAGGGACACTTCGACCGACACGCAGACACAGTCACTCAGAGACACAGAGATGAGAGGCAGAGAGAAGCGTGTATAAATGATATCTATATACATATACACACATATATTAACGTATATGCATATGCATACACATAAGTATGCGCGAGAAGCCAACATTATATTTAAAATGCTCCCAGTAGTTGCAGGCTGGCCCTGGGTCGGAAGATGACCCTCAGCCCGTGATGCTCCGGTATGAGGACCCGGTCGTTTGGGATCGATTGCCTTGTGCGTCGTGTTGTATGTATACATATATATATATATATATATGCCCGTTCGTTGTGGCTGGTTTCGGGTGTTGGGTTTGGGGAATGGTTTTCACTCTAGCTTGTCTATGAGGGTTTTTGAGTGCAAAAGCTTCGGGTATTGAGGTTCAGGGAGGGAGGCTTAAAGGTTCGGCTCCCTCTGAACTTTTCAGCCTTCGGAGTTGAGGCTGTGAACTGCTGATTTCGATCTTCCTCGAACTCGATGTGCAGTCTTGGACTGTTTCGGCCACAGCCTTGGGACATGCGCGCCGATCAGATCGATGTGGCTGTCTCTTCTCGGAAGGGGGCATCGTGCAGTGTGACAGCTTTCCGAAAACCATAAGCAAAGGTTTGTGGTGTTGAAAGAGCTGCACATAGCTCCACCGTGTCAAGCGTACATTCAATGTAAAGATGTTAGCGTGATCGTGTTTGTGTCGTGCAAGTAGAGCGTTGGATCCATGCTTTGCGACTTCAAGATTCCGTGTAGGGTTTAGTGCTCAGGGTGTAGGGTTTAGGTTTTTTTGGGGCTTCAGGTGCGCGTTTTTCGGACGATCAGGATTGGGGATTTCGGAATTGACGCTTTCGGCCTGGTTTCGGATGAGCTTTGTGGCTTGCTTGAGCTTAGGGTTCGGTTGGGAGTGAACAACGATAGGTCCAGAGCCATGCTTGTAGATTGAGTCTGGTTTGTGAGTGTTTCGTAGCTTGAATTCTAGCGGTCAAAGCCGAAGCTGGCCTTGGGTTATCGACTTAAACGGATGTAGGTTTGGGGGTTTAGCGCAGCCTAGAATTTGGAGTACACGGTTTAACTACAGATTTTCGGTTGTAGGGTTTAGGGCCGAGGGTCACCTGGCATGCTTCCTAGTCAGTAGACCACGCTCTGCAGCAGTGCCTAGCCTTTTCATTGAACCCCTTTTTCACATTGTTCAATTGATTTCTACGGCTGGTGGAAAGTCTTGTTCAAACATGTATTCAATTTCATACGCACACTGACTTTCCAGATAAACCCAGTGGCAAGCGAAGCCAGGACGCCTACCAGTATCAGCACGTCTTCGCCCCGCTGGTGAAGATGGAGGCGAAAGAGACTAGGATTTGAGGGTTAAAACAGATGTACATCTTGGTCTTGTGATAGCCGGGTTTCCTATATAGCTACTTTTAGGGCATAGTATAAACTCTAGAGGTGCGTGGACCCTTAGGATATCCCAGTCCTCAATCGCTAGCGATTGGAATGCACTTTGGGGCTTTGAGCATTGTACTGATCGGTATAACCATGAGGGCCTTGTAGTACAGTATACAACTTTTTTAATGCGGGTATCCTGTTCTCTTCTTCCTATTTGGACTCCTTCATGGCGAGCTTTACACACAGATCGTCTAGAAGGGGAGCCCCGAATCCCAAGCTAGCTCGGCAAGCAGATCTTAAGCCGGAAGCAGCCCGAAACCGCAAGCTTGAAATCCCACGACCGAGAACCGGATCCTAAACGCTAAGCCTAACCTCCGACACGACTCCTGTCCAAAATTCTGAAGACCTATGTAAGACCCCCAAAAGCCTCCCAAGTCCTGAAGGAAACTCTTCTAGACCAGCTTAAACAGGCCGACAGAAACCCTCTAAACCCCCTGTAGTAGCCTTGTCGAACGGTATACAGACCCTTACACAGTCCTTTTCAACCTGTCGATGGTCCTGAATAAGCCTTTAAAACAACCTTTGGATCCCTTTTCAACCGCCTTGAATCCTTCCGGAAGTCTCGTGGATCTCTTGTAGAATCCGTATGCAACCCATTCTTGAAGCATGCTTTGGAACCCTTATAAAGCCCGTCTAGAACTCCAAAGCAAAGCCCTGCAAGCCTAACGCGCCCGGAACTTGCCCTTAAAACGATCCTCAATTTAAGGGAACCCTTCTTCCAGACACTCCAACCCTTCTTCCCTAGACCCGTACAAGGCGGACTACGACAAGAAGCTGAAGGAGTCCCAGAGCCAGGAGAACGTTGTGGTGCGTTGGGACGTGGGCTCCGGACTCAGCTCCGCATGGCAACATAGGGGCCTTAATAATTACCTACACTTTCTTCTTATAAGTATGGTATAATATCCCCCAAAACCTTATTTCAAGTATTAAGGCTTCTATATTAGATTGTATAGGGCTTTGGGTTTTGGGGGTTGAGGGTCAGCTAGGGGTTTAAGGTTAGGCAATCAGCTGGTGTTCGGGGATTGTTGTACCTAAGGGTCGCACCAGGGCTCTTGGAGGAAATTGTTTATGGGGTGCTACGGCCTCAGCAATCTTCCACTGGGATTCAGGAGTTTGGGTGTAGGTCTCCACTGCATGGATCTCTGGTTTGTTGTAGGGTTCGGGTTTCAGTTTTCAGGGTTTTTTGTTTCAGGATCTTTGGTTTTACGGTTTGGGGCTATCGGGGTTGGTGGAAATTAAGGCGGGGAGTGTAGTAGGTTGAGGACCACGCTGGGTGGTGACAGGGCTTGCGGCTTGTTGAGAGTTTAGGGATAAGGTGTTTCAAGCGCGCTTCTTTGCCACTTTCGGATTGTGTGCAGGTTTCGGGTGTAGGTTCGCTTTGTAGGATTTCAGGGCTTTGGGTTTGGGGTTTCGGCACAGGGCTGTCTACAAGGGCTATGTGGAAGATCGCTGTACTCAAATCGGTTTGCGTTTACGACAGCTATACCTCAGGCCCACTGATAGCCGAAAGCCCTGCTTGATCGTTAGAAGACCATGTTATGACAACTAAACTTGTACGGGCGATCCCTCATTAAATGGGAGTTTCCGTAAATTAGGGTAATATTAGAATAAGGGTCCTACTATTTAGGGTACTATATTCGGCTTCCCTATTCGCGAAAACTCCCAAATAAGTCTGTCAGGATGCACTGCTTGCTCACGAGCTTCCCTGGTGACAGGATCCCAAGCCCTGAAACCTCCAGAAGCGCTTCTCGAAGCTCCTACTCTGCAAATCCACATGGAATTTCCCTTCAGCGAATCAGGGCCGATGCTCTATTAGGGTTTTGGGTTTAGGGGGATGATTTAAGCTTATAGACCTTCGACTTCAGTGGGTAAGGCGAGCAGTTGAGTGTTCAGGCTTGCGAAGTCGAGGTTGGGCGAGTAGTTGGCCCAGATCTGAATCTCCCGTTGGCCAGGCTCTTTCCAGGGAACTTAGTTGCAACTGATCAAGCTACCATAATGAGAAAAGCATATTATGTACCGTATGTCCTTATTTTGTTAACCAGAATCCTAAACCCTAACGAGAAGCCAGTTGTGCCGCCCCAGGCTTGAACAAAAAGCGCATCGCCTACTTCCACTTCACGAAGGCCCACAGCCATGCCAGATCTCGCATTCCGTATGTTGCTGAGTCATCACATGTTTGGGGAAGTACGGAGTGCATCGGAGGGACGATTGTTGGGGTAAGCTCTAGTCGCCACAGCTGAAGGTTCCTGTTTGCGGCTGAAAGCTGTGGGCTAACGGCTAACGGTATTGAAAATTTATTACACTCTAAGAAACCAACGATATTCGGAACCTTGCCTCGGGGGTCCAGCGACCTAAGTAGCAGGCCGCTTACTTTTCAACTGAGAGCGTGTAGTTCCTTCTAGGGGGTTGCTGGGGAAGCCGACTTGCAGCGTCAGGGGACTCAGTGAGTGCGTGTATAAGTCAGGAGACTACCCATAGGCCCCATAGTAGTTCCTGTTGGGGTTCATATTTAGAATCCTATTAGGCAATCCCAAAAAGAAGCTACTATGGGGCCTATGGGTAGTTTTTTGTACTTGCCCCCCGCACGCTTGAAAAACACCGACGTTCCCGGTCGTGCGCCGGGTCCCTAGAGTGACTCCTTGGGCCGACAGTGGACAGCTGTCCGCAAGTTTTATGATGACCGAAGAAAGGCCTGCTAAGAACGACCCTCAAACCCCTGCAGCAGCAAAGCCTTATGAAACCCATCTAGAAATCTCGGGAAGCCCATCTAAGTGCCGTCGTGAACCCTCGAGAAGCCCTACTTTCTGCATAAGTGCCCTTAGCCACAAAACAGAAGAGGAAGATACCGAAGCCCGCCTGGCGCCGGGAGACGAGCCTCCCGGAGTGGTTTAGGCTTTAGGGGATTTAGGGTTTTGGGGGTTTGCGACATTTCCAAGGTTTTTTTTTGACGTTGTGGGGTTTAGGGTGTTTTAGGGTCCAGGGTTTGGGGGTTTACGGCATGTTAGGGTTTGTAGAGTATGGGGGTTTAGGGTGGTTTGGGGTCCATGGTTTGGGGCGGGGGTTTACGACATCTTAGGATTTCTTTAAGAGAGTAGGGTTCAGGGTTTAATGAGTCTTTGGGTTTAAGCTCTTCTAGGACCCCCGAAGTAATACCGGGGGGTAGAGTATAGTAAAGTATATATCGTCGGACTGTAGGGGATGGTTTTAGAATGTATTCAGACCTCCGTAGGGTTAGTTTTGCAAGCTATTCAAAGGATGGAGAAAGGTTCGTGGGGACTGAGACGGTTTAACGTCTTCGTGGGGGTTTATACCTTGGCTTTCTTCAGGGTTCATTACTGCTCTCGGTAGTTTTCGAGCTGGTCTTGTGGAGTGCTTGTAGATGAAACTACATAATTGGCGATGCTGACTGCATGTTGGGACTTGGGACGAAGAATCTTGTTCAATCGGTGCTGCTTTAAACCCTCAAGGAAACCCTTCTTCTGGAGTTCGCGGCATTCAGCTTCGGGGGCAAGGAGCTGCGCTGACTACAAAACGAGCTTCAAGCTTTCTGCAGGAGTATACGACAAACTGTTCTTGCAAAACCTGGTGTGGAGGTCTTTGGCGGCTTCAAGTTGATGCAAGCCTGCAGTTTCTACATTCAAGCATGGGCATGGTTCGGCCGAACAGAAGAAGCAGACTTGGGACCTGCCTGTACACACTGGTCTGTGATGACTTCGACATCTTGCGAGGTGCACAGACTTCCAAGCAAGGAGGGATTGTAAATACCCGGCTGCAGAATCCAAGGCCCAAGACAAACGGATCGAGCTGGTTGCTGTGTTCTAAATGTCAATAGTTGTTTTGTGGTACTACCAGTACCTGTACCAGTACCAGGTCGAGTACCAGTTGTCGTACTCGTATTCGTAGTAGTCGTAGAAGTAGTATAGTAGTAGTCGTCGTCGTCGTCGACTTAAGAAAGCTCAAATTGGAAGCAGCCTGCGCGGTCCTGCAAATTGGGTGTGAAGGATGATGCTGGGGCTTTCAGGGTTTGGCGTTCTAAATGAAACAGGCTGGTTATCAATTATCAAGCCTCCGCATCTGGTTTCAATCTGGGCGTTCCGGAAAGGCTCGCGGGTTGTAATGATAGAGAAAAACACACACATAACTACATAAGCATAGACACTCTATCTTATATATAGTCTCTGTAAATATGTATATATACATGTATAATTATGAATAATGACATGTAGTTGAGTAAGATGTAGTCTGATACAACACATTTCATATAATCTGCTGTTAGTAGTAGAGTACAAAAGTTTTCTGGTTGCACTATGGAGGTTCTTCTTGTAAAATGCCCCCCACGCCCCAATGCCAAACTCTGGTCCAGGCTTTCTACCTTGGAACCCTTCTCTCCAGATCCTGCCCGCCACAATAGACCATAAAGAAGAAATCTACCCTAAAAGGGTTTCAAGGTTCAATGTCCCCATATGGGTTCGTTGTACGCACAAAGCATTTTGCGGGCCTTACTTTCAATTGTCTTTTCGTCTCAATGGACCTTTATTCTACCCGTAATGCTTGCCTTTTCGTGCCATACGGTCTGCACTGATGGTTCCTTGCAGGGTCCTGGTAAAGCCTATCATTCCGAATTCCGACTGCTATAGAAACTTGAAAATGTCGATCCCCGAGAAACAAACCGCCTGAAGGCATTGTAAAACGCATTGAGAGGGAGGGCTTGATCTATTGACAGAGGCTCCTGTGTTGAACCCCTTAAACCCCGTAGTGAGTGTAGTGTGTATACTCCTTATAGTAACCCTTAGCGGAACACTGAAAGGCACCACTAAGAGAACCCAGAAGTCTCAAAGGAATTTTGTTGTAACTACTGAGGCCCCCACATTACCGACTGCTCGGCCTATGAGGCTCCGTCTACGCCTGAACTCCTCAGCCTATGCCGACCTCTCCGGCTCGGACGAGGTCACCCCTTTCTTACTTCAGCTTTCTTTATGCATTGTCTTTGACTTCTTTAGGGATGAGGCTCCCGTTCAACAAAAGGGGCTTTAGGCCATGGAAGGTTAAGAGAGTGTGGGGTTTGAGTTTTGAGCTTCGGGGTTTCAGGATTTGGGGTTCAGCAGGGTTTTAGTCCGGGTTTTGAGGTTTGCCGTTTAGGATCTACAAGTAAGGCTTACTGGGCGTACTGACTGTTTACTGTATATGTTCAGGGTTCACTGTTGCCCGCATAACACGGCTACGGGTTTAGGGAAGTGCAGAAGGCTTCAGAATTCTTTCCACGCTTCTCTGACATTTTCCCGAAAGCACTCATGGTTTCCTTGTTTTGCGGCAGTGGCTAATTTATTCCGGGCTTGACTTTCGGCTCAGACTTCTGGGGTCACGAAGGTATGCGAAGCTTCGCCGTTAGCTGCACTCGTCTACACTATACTATACAGGCGTGCAAAGGTCAGTGGAACACTTGACCCTGGAAGAGAATGATTTTGCAGGGTGCATTCGGCGGTTTCTCGCAGAACGCGGCTGACAGTGGCCCGCTTGAGAGAATTCGCATGTAGTGCGAGGGCGTTAGGTCCTACAGTATGAAGCCGGCTACAGCTTGGGATTTCGATGCTGAAGTTATTTAACACGAGTGTTTTAGACAACATATTTTAGACAGCTACCACGATGATTCAGGTGATGTTCTCACGCGAGATCAAGTGAGTTCAGTGGCCTCAATTTAGTAAAATCTGTAATAACATGTTATCATTTGCCGTATTACACTATACTTCGCCTAATATAAGACAGCGTAATATCATGTAATACTCTAACATCATATACTTGATCTTAACTTGTAACCTAATCTAGTCTAATGTGATAGAAGGTAATATCAAGTCATATGTATGTATGTATGTATGTATGTATGTATGTGCGTATGTATGTATGTATGTATGTATATATATGTATATGTATATGAGTTAGATCATCAACACATATATAAGCCAACACAGACATTAGCAAACAAATATGTGGACAAAAACAAATACACATGTGTACATATTATATATACGTATGTGTATATATATATATATACATTATATATAGGGACGTTAAGGGCACATTAGAGCCGCTTTTCATCAACGCCCTCAGCCATGTCCCGGTGGCGGAATCATTTGGCCATCCTGAGTGTCGTCTTGATCCTTGGCTATCTCAGAAACCGCAGTTGCAGCTTTTCTACACTGGGAACACCGGGGAAAAGAAGCAAAGGAAACGAGAAGCCGAAGCAAGAGCCCTTGAGTCTGATGCGGGAAAAGGTCGGTGCAAGGTTCAGGGCACAGGCACGTGATGCCATCGCGCCACTGCCCCTAACTCCGGCAGAAAAAGACCTATTGAATCGGCTCGTGGGGTTTTCCCGCAAGGGTCAATGGGATTCCGTTGAGTCCGCCTTTCGCAGCTACAACGGAAGCGCCTCTTCAATCTATTGTCAAGTTATGCATGCCGCATTCCGATGTGGCCGATACGAGCGGGGTGTCGAAGTGTACAAGAGGCTGTGTGACTTGTGTTTGCCAAAGACCTTGCCGGTTTACACCTTGGCGATTAAACTGCTCGGCAAAACCAGAAAGCCTGCCCTGGTCGAGCAGACTTGGGTAGAGGCCCTGGAAAGTGACGGCATGGATGTAGTGCTTGCAGGGGCTCGAATTGATGCGGCGGCTGAAGAAGGAGATATTGTGACGGCCGCGTCCGTGTTGGACACGATGCAAACGAAGAAACTAAAACCTGCTTTAAATCATTATACCTCTGCCGTGCGTGCCTGCCGGAATTCCAAAGGAGTCAGTCACAATGCAGCGAACTATCTGCTGACAAAAGTGGAGGAGCAGGGCCTTGTTCCCGATGTGATATTTTTCACGGCCCTGATCCGGACGTACAGGCATGCGAAACTTGAGGCTTTCACGTCGGCCTTTCAGAAGATGAGAGATCTCGGAATCTTACCGGACAAAGTCTTTGCAGAGACATATTTGGCGACCTTGCTAGTGCCGGACGACAACCGGGTACGAGGGCGTATGTATGAGGACTTGAAGGGTTTGGACCGTGATCGATTGCTGGCAGCAAGGGAAGCTCTCCAGGATTTTCAGGAATCCAAGGTTGAGTTGTCCGGCCTCGCTCGGGAGGTGAAAGAAACTCTGGACCGTGCTCTCGAGACATGAAGCCATACATGTCTTAAGTTTGCGTCTCGCTGCTTTTGTGCGGCGTTCTGCAAAAAAGCTGCTACTTGGACACGCTTGGAGCTTTCTTCGCAGGTCCGTTCCAGTTCAAGCCCAGAGCTAATAGCTCCCTACGAACCTGAAATGTTACTCCAGGCGGCGAAACTCCATCACTCCTGCCCTGTTACTTGTAGTAAGCCTGTCACGACTTAAGTAGGCCGTAGTGCTTTGGCTGTTTTAGGATTACGGTTTTAAGGCATTCTGGGGGTTTAGTGGTTGTGCGGCTTGGTGTCACGTTATTTCGGTCCCGTCAGTGTGAACTTTACACGTACATGAGCGTGGCATAGTTCACAAGGCATGAAGCCGTAGTCTGAAGCCTTATGGGGTCCTGAGCCCCCAACCCCGACCCTCCAACTACCGAAGGCGTGTAGGAGACCTCGAAGAAAGCCTTCGACCCCCCCCCCTTCGTTTAGACCTTTGAATAGCAGACACGGTGCCTTCCATAATACAACCTGAAAGCGGGTCTACCCATAGGCCCCATAGCAGCTCCTTTTTTGGGATTCTAAACATGAACCCCAAAAAGGAACTACTATGGGGCCTATGGGTATCTTGATTCTTAATGCCCGAATCTTATGACCTAAACCCCAAACCCTCTAAACCCTTAAACCCTAAATCCTGACCCCTTACCCCTCAATGCGCGAATCTTATGCCAGGCAGGTTGGAGCGCTGTCGGGCATGTCTCCAAAATTACGGCCAACGAGGAGGCAAGGTATAGGGCTTGGGAGATATTAATATGGGAGTTACCGAGAATAGGGGACCCTAATATAGCACCCTAAATAGTAGGATCCTTATCATAGGGACCCCAGAAAAAAGTATCCCTAATTTTCGGAAACTCCCATATGGTTTTTGCCTAGTTTAACTGCACAGTATAGTATGGGTATACTATAACGACTCTAGGGAGTGCACAGGGGGATTGTGGCAACTTATGCCATGCTGACCGCTCTATTAGGTGCCTGCTCCATGCTCAACATGGGAACTCGCACCTTCAAACTTCTCCAAGGTTTTCACGTGCGCCAGGAGGTCGATGTCAAAGAGCATTTCGAGCATATACATTGGGCATGCGGCATAAGGCTACCTGTAGGAAGCACGTTCAGGCAAAAGCACGGACTGTACAGTTACATGGACCATAAAAGACGGTGGTAGCATCAGCCTTCAGGATGGTTGGTAGCGTGACAGCCCTAACAGACCAAGTTCTCAAGGAGTAGCATTTCCGAGTAGTCAGCACTCGGTGACTAAACCCCAGTTCTGGATGCTTGGAACTTGTACCGTAATATCCCACAAAGTTAGCGTATCACAATACCAGAATGTACCTCAAAACATCACCCTATCTGCAAAGCCCTTATTTGATCCTAACCGTGCAACGCTATGAAGCCCTTTCCAAGCCAGTCTTTAAAGCACCCTTAGTTGCAATAGACCCTGAACCCCACAACTTGAGATCGAAACCCACAGCCTTCGGTATTGTAGGTTGCCTATTATACCATCATTGTAATGAGGACCCCCCCCAAAAGAAAAAAAATGGTATAGGTAATTATGTAAGCCCCTACATCAGAGTACCCTTTTATAGATCCCTCATAGAGCCCTTATAGCCCCCTTTTAACGGAGCCCTTTAGAGCCCTTTAAGGCCCCACCACGCGCGTCGCAGGTCTAAACCCTAAACCCTAAACCCTCAAGACAGCAATAATAGAAATCGAGCTATAGCTTGCGTGCAGCCAATTGCCAGTCTACATACTTTCATTTCTGGACACATTCAAGCTGTACATAGGGGAACATGAGGACAATCCCTTCTTCTCTGCGTTCACTCAACTAAAGGCGAACATGAGGTGTGTGTTGCCTTGCCCGTTTACCCTTCAATGCTATCCCTCAACTACAGGCGAACATAAAGCACATGGCCTGTTCACCAGCAATCAAAAGCGGGCATAAGGTATGCGGCTTTCTTTTGTTCCCTTCAACCTTCATGTGAAGGCGAGCCTAAGGTTCAGAGCGACCAACCTGTCCAGACCAGCAGGTGAGCAAGCAGCGCCAGTTCTTCAGCAGTCTTTCCGTAGCAGACAGCAGTCAACCCGAGCTGCAGCCCAGCCAAAAGGTTCGGGGACCCGCTCGGAGGACCCGACCGCCCCAAGCAAAACAGGAAACTCGGTCAGAACTCATGGACCCAAACCCTATACAATTTCTACAAACCCAAAACCCTATAGGTAATTATGTGTGCCAACGTAGTGTAGGTTGCCTTGGAGCTCCGCGGTGGTCAGCAGCTGGGCCCTTGGGACATCAACCACGGCTTCCAAGTCGAATTCGCCACCTGGCCGACAGAGAGTCATTAATTATGGGTTTTTCTTCTGCGTAAGGGTCTTGAATAGGGTTCAGGGCTCCGATAGAAGCGGGGCTTTCTGGAAGAGGGTTTAGGGGTTTAGGGTTCTTGTTTTCGGTTCCTTATTTCGGTTCCTACAGGGTTCAGGAGCCTTGTGCAGGGTTCTTGTAGGATTCTTGTTTAGGGTTTCTAATGCACCTCATGCGGTGCCTTTCAGGTCGGAGCTTGAGCGCTGTCTGATTTTGATTTTAGGGCTCTGAATTTTAGTGCCTCCAAAATGCTAGGATTGCCATACTTGGGGGTCTATATTACAACAACATGTAATTAAGCACAGTAGTGCGGATCGTTTAGGTTTCCATATCCGGGAAGGGCGCGTTTATCAGGCCTTTTAAGGCTTCTGCGAGGATCGGTGCTTGGATCTGTGCTTAGAAGACTTGAGGGATCGTTATTCTGAATGCCGCGTCCAATCCTATGTGCCTGCAGAGACAACTGACTGATTTCAGAGGTTTTCGCACGTACCAAAACAAGAGTGGCAAATCTATCAAACTGCCGAGCTTAAAGAATTGCAATACTGGAGACGTGTTACATCGCGACTGCCCAGCAAATCGGATCACTGCACGCCATGCATCAGATTGGCAGCTGAGGTGTGGAAGTCAACTTCTTTCGACCGCATGCAGGACATGCCGGACACATGTTGACGGTGTTCTTGTTAAGGAATTTAACTTACTACGGTACAAGAATATGTAGGAAGGCAAGTGAGTTGTTTAAGTAAGTGTTCTGGAGATCTTGTTCGTGCAGCTCAAACAAGTTCCTTAACTTTAGCAAGAACCCCGTTGCAGCCCGAAGCTGCCGATGTCAAACCCACTTCTCCACAAAAGCTCAAAATAAAGCCCATAGCCCCAACCGCTTTAAATTTTGACTCTAGGACCGAATAAGTCTTTGCATGCTCTGCGAGATCCATGTTTGGGCCTGCCAGCATGTACACCTTAATTTCCAGGAGACTTGCGCAAAATCAGCCTTGAACTGCTGCACCCATACCCCGTCAATCCGAGAGTCAAGAAGCAACCAGACATAGACTGTCAGGAAAGGCACAACGAAGCAACAGACAGAAGAGCGCAGGATAAAACCAGCAACTGCTGGACACGAGGGCAAACGACCATTAGCGACAAGCAACGACAGGTGTGGTAGTAATGATGATGCAAGAGTCTGGCAACAAACATCGTAAGAGTGCCACTAGAGGGGGGGTAGGCGGGTCAGTGAGCGACTGGTTGCTCGCCGCAGAGCGGGATTTAGGCCGGCAGCCCACCGTAGCAACTTAGACCCATGTTGCATGCCTCGAGCGTGATCACATGCAGGCAGCGATGCGGACCTTTGCTGTGGACGACACCAGTGTGTCCGGTTACCTCTACCACAAGCTGCTAGGCGGGTGCAAACTGCCATTGAAGCTCAGGAATCCCGAGGCCCTTTACTATGAGGGAAATGACAGAAATATTTGATGTCTGACAGAGATAACGAAACCAAGAAGAATCCAATGTGAGAAGGAAATGACACATTCCTGTTGTCGCATTGCTGGCCAAGGCCTTTTTGAGTAATTTCCGCTGTCCGAAACCAAGATCGCCGGGTCCCGAGCTGAATGTTACCGAACTTGCAACAGCATCCAGGCAAAAGGTGGAGAAAAAGAGAGGAAGTGATGAACGTCCGAATGAAGACACTGTAGGAACCATTTATGTGTGTGCCTGTGATAGCTAGCATAGTCCCTGATCATGCCGTGTCGGCATCGGGTTCTCTGGTATTGTCAGCTTTGCTTACGCATTCGAGAGCCTTGCCGCATTAGTGCTACGCAAGCATTCCAGGTGGGCTGAGGGCCCTATCCCCTAAACCATCAAGGAATCCTGCTACTATACAGGACCTCCCTGGAGCCTTACAGTTCTGAAGCTGTAATGCTCGAAAGCTCGACAGTTCTAAGACTCGACCTTAGTCCTGCAACTCGACAGAGCAACATCCCAGGAGTCCTTAGGCGAGTGGATTTAACTTACTTACGATGCAGGAGCTGCTTTAGGGCCAAAGCATGTACTGTATATGTCCATGGACCGTTAGGTAAACCGACACGTTGATTCTCATCGATCCAAGCCCGAAGTTTTAGGGGCTTTCGAAGTTCAAGTCACCGTGCGCCCTCCCGGAGCTGTGACAGGCCACGATGTAGAGCCGCAGACGATCCGCTCCACCGTGCCGATGCCAAGCGGGAATTATGTCTACCTGCGGGCCTGTCAAACCCTCAAAACAACCCCCGAACTGAGCCTGCGGTTCGCAAAGCTTCCCCTGCACTTGACCTCATGTTTGGGTGAAGAGCTAAGGAAGCACTTCACTGCTCCGAACTTGCCGCAGCTGAACCACTCCCAGGTCCGTGACCTCGTGCTTGGGAGGGGCATTCTTTTCACCTGGTGATTAGAGGCGTAGGGTCTTATGATGAAAGGCATCATTACCCATAGGCCCCATAGGCCCCATAATAGTTCCTTTTTGGGGTTCTTATTTAGAATCCCATTAGGTACTCCCAAAAAGGAACTACTATGGGGCCTATGGGTAGTTCTGGTGCAGCGAGGGGTTTGGGGATTTGGGGGGTAGTCCTTCGTCTCAGGGTTTTAGGGTAAAGCTTCAGGGTACTACGAGCCAAGTCTCCCGGACCGAAAGGCCTCATGTTCTTTATCTTAGAAGTCCTTGAAGAGGTAGGATATTCAGTGGTGATCTTCACTTTAAGGTACAGATACTGTAAACCAGATCACCACTGATTAACAACCCTTCTATTCAATCAAAAATACTTCTTCTAGGCTTCAACCCCTTTCAAGACAGGGTGATATTCAATCAGGGATCTGAGTTTCATAGTACCTGGGCCCGCAACCGCAAGCCCATAGGCCCTATGCTGTTGGTGTTACGTCTTCGGTTCGCACGAAGGGACCAGCGGGTTTGAGCTTCAGGGCGTCAGATTTTTCGTTAGGAGGGATGTAGGGTCCATTGGGTTTAGAGGGTCGTTTTCGCAGGGAGGGTTTAACGATGTTTGGAGTTTAGACTTTAGGGCTCGCAAGCCTTACTTAGGTTTCAGACTTTCGGATCTATGGCTCTACAGTTTACGCCCGAGGGCTTTGATTTGTCATGGAAGGGATTTGAAGTTTGTTGAAGGGCTTTAGGCTACGGTTCTGGGGGAGAAGGCTTCGGTCCTGAGACTTTGGTCTTAGATTGTTTCGTTTTCTATGTTGTATAAGTAGAGTTAACAGCATAGTGAACTGCAAAGTATGTAATCAAATCACTCTTGTACGCCTTGACAGCTTTTGCATAATTCCACTCTAGTATCCCCCGGTGAAGACCATTGAAGCCCTTATGCCACAATGGGCAGATGGCCCAAAGGTCTGTCGGATGTGGAGCTAGAGCTAAGAGGGCTCGGCTAGACCCCACCCATAGGCCCCATAGTAGTTCCTTTTGGGGATTACCTAATGGGATTCTAAATATGAACCCCAAAAAGAAACTACTATGGGGCTTATGGGTATAATTGTTAGGAGGTTTGTGACGCAGGCACACCCTCAAGAGCCCGCCCAGCAGCCTGAGTCAAAGCAGGTCTACGCAGTCCGCAAGGCGTTGTCGAACCCGCTGTGCCTGATCCAAGGACCACCAGGTGACCTACTGCAGGGTACTACTGTTGGGAACTAAAGGGTGTCAGTATTGTGTATTGTCAGGGTACTACTACTGTAGTTGGGTAGTTACTGTAAGAGCACTCAGAGGGTACCATTGTGCAGTGGCATTCGTTTACATGAGTCATATCTGGATAGCTACTAGCAGGTTGTTAGGTAAACCCGGGGGTTCTGCTCAGTGTCAAAAACAGGTCTACCAAAAGGCTAGCTAGTCTTCTGCTTACCTCCTACGAAAAGTAGATCCAGCGCTGGATCCTCCAAGCCCAAGTTTAGGGTTTAGGGCTTAAGACAGAAAGCTCCGATTCAGGGCTCGGGGCTTTACAGTGTTTAGGGTGCAGTAGGACATTAGAGATCTTGTTAGAAGGCATGTGCAGAGACTCAGACACATTCGCATTTACGGCTTCAGGTTTGCGGGCGGCAGCACATCTAAAACTTGGCAGTCACTAAGGGCCCGAACCGAAACCCTCAACTCCACAGGTCAGGAGCTTGTATGGTTTAGGCATCGCGTGACAGGTACGGGCAAGACCGTCACCTCGGCCACAATTGTCTACCACCTCACGCGACAGAACCAGGGACAGGTGGGGCCCACCACACTCCACCACTCAGTCCAGTCCTTCTGTAATGTTGAAAGTGCCAATTGCATGGGTTGCTTGCCCTCATAAAGTAGGACAGACAGGTGACGATGGACATGTGCAGTTTGTATGTGGATGGGATCTTTGTGTGTGCTAGGCTTTCGGCACTAGATGGCCTTTACAGTTAATTGTTTCACTGTGGTGTAATGTTCTCCATTGCTTGATGAGCATCTTGCACTGAGGGGTCGGCCGCTGGGATTTCTCCTCGTCTGGGATGGAAGGGAGAAGTCAAACGCCTTGTTGCGACCTCTGTATGAGGCTTAAGTTAGGGCCTCCATTATTGCCTAACTACGGATTACCAGATTGTGTGGGGCCTGCCGGTACTCCCCGGCATCCCTTGAAATCTGCAAGCCCCGAAACGTATCCGCAGGTCTTGGTCTGTGCTCCATCCAACATCGCCGTCGACCAACTTGCAGAGAAGCTGCACAAGACAGGCTTGAAGGTCGTTCGTCGCGCGGCCGAGTTGCGGGCGGGGTTCTGGTTTGGGCATACAGGAACGGTGAGACCTGGCAAGAGCCGTAATAACCGTAGCAGTTTTTCGCGTTGTTGCTATGGTTAGCATGATCATAGTTATTGACTGTTGTTCTTAACACTAATTATCATTGGTATTATCATGGTTGACATTAAAACCAAAACTCATGCGATTAAACTACTATTAATTAGCAATACTCTGAGGATGATGGTGATGATGATCATGATGAATGATGAATGATTATGATGCTTTTGTTGTAGTGGTAGGCAGCAGCAGCAGCAGCAGCAGCAGCAGCACCTCACTTGGGAGGGGAACATGCAGGGTTTAGAGCTCGAGGGCTGTTGATTGCAGGTGGTCGAGGAGTACGGGCTGGAGAACTCAACATGATTTAGGGGTTGTGGGACTCTCGAGAGTTAACGTGTCTAGTTGCTACAGCTTGCGGTCAAGGGGTCAGATCTCCAGACCCGACATTACGGGACCCCATGCAACAAGCCCTAGATAGCAGGACCCTGAGTTGCAGAAGGATCCATAGTTCTGAGAAATAATAGTACATAGACTCGGCGCAAAGCGTTCATAGCATCAATAGTAATGGTTATTGACATTTGCCTGCGCTTTCAAAGTCAAGGTTTGAGCGCCAAGTCCCGCGAAGCGGTGGCCAGCAGCGTGGATTTCCTCACGCTCCACCACCAGGCAAGCTTGGATCTTGTACTACAGTGGCCTTGATAATTAACTATCTATACTACTTTGGGGTTCCTTAACATAATTATACTATAATGGGCCCCAAAAACCCTATTCTAATCATTAAGGCCCGTATAGGACAGCTCAAGGTTTAGGGCATTTCGGTTGATCTTAAGCTGAAACGTCGAGGATAGGTTGCAGCAGGGCTAAGGCGTTAGAGAGCTTAGGTTAAAGGTTTAGCGGCTTTGAGGGCGTCAGGGTTTACGTTTGCAGAGTGTGTGGCAGTGTGAGTTTCTCCACCGACTGTGGCGTGGATGTGCGGCTCCGAGCTTCGACATCCCTCAATTCTCGGTGCCCTCGTTCACCTTCACCTTGATTTAACCCCTCTTAGTCAAACTTTCAGCGAAAACTCCATGAAATGAAATCTCCCAGCAACCCTAAACCCTAAACAAGCTCTTTGGTTTCTCAGGCCTTGCTGTTTGATGCCAAACCCAAAACTGCAGCCTTCCGAGGTGCGGCACCTGGATACTCCGGACCATCAGGAGCTTCAGAAGCTCATGGCGCTGAAGGCAGCCGAGAGTATCTGGGAAAGGGCTTAAGAAGCTAGGGTAGACCCTAGACTCTTTCTCAGATTCTCCAGTCCCTCGCAAGCTGTTCGCTGCTCTTCGATAACTCCTCTTATATCAGTCCCTCTCGAACTTCTTAGACTCTCTGGTGCCTTACGAGTCGGCTTGCTTTTCTTTCTCAGATTCTCTAGTCCGCCTTGATCGCTCCTGTCTCTAAGATTCTCCATTTCTGAGGTTCTCTAGTCCTTTGCGAGCATCTCTGGTCCCTTTCGAACGGTTTGCTCTTCTTCATGAGATTCTCATGTCAGTCCCTTGCGAACGGTTCGCTCCACTTTCTCAGGCTTTCAATATTTCTTTGAAAGGTTCGCTCCTTGTTCTTTGTTCTCCGAGTCACTAGTCCCTTTCGAGCCGTTCGCTCCTCTTTCCTAAGTTCTCTGGTCACTCTGGAGCCACGGCAACGGTCGCCAAAAACACAAATGCCTCTTAAACAATCTTCAACCCTACAATCCTAAACTTCCTAAGCGTCAGGCCATAAGTTCCGAACACACACATAAACCCTTCTTCCCAAACCCTAAACATGGGAAAACTTGCCTGCGATCCTAAAGCCCCAGCTCTCAAATCCTTGACCATGCTCCGAGGAGTCCTGAACCCTAAAACCCCCAAAACCTTGAAATTGCTGAAAGGATGAGTTGGGTGAGCTCTCCCATGTGGACGAGAAGAAGCCGCATGGCTGGGATTCACTTGGATGTCGGGCTCTCTTTTTGTGTTTGGGGGGGCTGGGGTGCAAGCATTTTGGGGCTTTGGGTTTAGGGTTTTGTATAGGCTGTTGTTCCCACGGCTCACCCCCTAAGCCCCCACACCTCATGTCCTAAACCCCCACTGTCTGCACCCTAAATCTTGCCACACCCGATCCGAGGAGGTGTTGAAACAATCAACCCGTGCTCAGGTTCAAGCAGCTGCAGAACTCAACCGAGCGTGAGTTGCTCACTGCAGCCGATGTCATTTGCACCACCTGCGCCACTGTGCAAAAGTGAGGGTTTGAGCCGAGCTTCAAGGTCCTCAAGCTGAGGGCGGGGTAAACGTTGAGGGACTTGGGGTTGAAGGGTTTACGTCTTGCGCTGTGGGGTCCGCAGCGAGTTTGCGCATCTAGGGCTTTTCTGAGCTCAAAACCGTGCATCGTACCCGAGGCCTCATATCCAAAGCCTATACATCCTGAACCCCCTGATGTAGCCATAATAGCTTTCCTTGAAGCCCTAGTTAGTCAGTCGCCGGATCCTTTCACTACCACCCCCCAAAATCCCGAAAAGATCCGCTAAAACAAAGCAGCAAACCCAAAACCTTCATAAGGAAGGTATCCATGACCCGGTTCCTTCAAGCAGTTGCACCTTCGCTGTTATAGGGCTACCCAGGTGAGAAGATGTAGGGCAGTCTAGGGGTCTGTAAGGTTTTGGGGCACGTTAGACCAAAACTTGAGGATGGAAGGGCAAAAGGGGAGATGATCTCAATTTATGTCCAAATATATGCTCGCAAACCCCCTCCAATACGTTATGGTTATGGAGTCCTTAGAAAAAGGGCTTTCTCCGGCTCCAGCCCCCTCACTCCAACAACCTAACCTAACTTCGATGGAGATCTGCCGAGGTTGGTGCGGGAGATCCACGTCTGCAGAACTTCCGCTTCAAGCAGGTGCTCGTGGATGAGTCGACCCAGGCATTCGGGAGGGCCTAGGGCTTTAAAGGGGATGCTTTGCGGCGTGGTCTTTAAAAATAATTAGGGGTCTTAGATAGGATTTCTACAGGGCTCATAGGGCTTGAGAAACGTGGGTTGGGTTTGGTGTTTAAGGTGCATCTGGGCTGCATGAAGGTACCTTCGTTCCGAGGGTTGATGCAGCGTTTAAAGTTGCGCTGTCATGTTTGGTCTCGATTAGTTCTCGATCGCCGCAAGCGCCTCCCATTCGGATGTAGGGTTTCCTCGCTTAGTTGTTGGCATCCTTGTGCATGTACCAGGAGTCGTTTGCTGGGCTGCAGGTTTGAGCGCTGAAAGACCCTAGGGGTCCGTGGCAGTATATAGTTCGGCCTCAAAGGAGTCTCTATACGTCTATACTCTACAAAGGTACTTGAAGAACCATGGTACATAACTAGATGTATACCTCTGATCTTCCGGTTTGGGATTTCAGGGGAACCCTACGAACCCTGCAGCCTCAGTCGTTCTGACCTCAGGGGCTTCTCGGCTACATCGTGGGTTCTAGGAGCCAGAATAGTTCCTGAGCCGCCAGCGTGGTAAACCATAAGCCTCACGAAGCCAAATCCCAAGACACCCAGAACCAAAAAAAACTGGCAGCGCCCTGTACGAAACAGAAAGAAGCCCTGTCAAACCTAAACCCGCATCCTAAACCCCAAACGAAACTCTGCCACCCAAAGCTTTCTTCAAACCCTGAACCCGGAACATGCCGCCCAAAAAGCACGGCACTGAGAGGCGGCCGAGCCTGAATGTCTCATTCCGATCATGATGGGTGCCACCTTGCCTCACTTCAGCCGAGGGGTTTTATGGAAGTTCCTAGTGTCTACCCATAGGCCCCATAGTAGTTCCTTTTTGGGGTTCATATTTGGAACCCTATAAGCTAATCCCAACAAGGAACTACTATGGGGCCTATGTCTAGAGGGATTAGGGATTCGAAAACTTGCAGGGTCGAGCTGATGGGTTTGCAGGATGCCGGAGATCGGTGTTTGGCCATTCCTCGTTTACAGTAGGGTGTTGAGCCTCATTGTTTGCAGCCGAATTTGGGATTTACGATTGCTTAGGGTTGGAGTCGCAGAGTTCTAGCCTCGGCACATACACACTGGTTTAGGTTTTTTCGGTTCAGGGGTGTGGTTGGCAACTTCAAGGCCAAAGTATGTTATTACTTGTGTATAGTACCCGCCAGCTTTGCCACTACACAGTATCAGCACGATATATATATATATATATGTATATATACATCCTGTTTTGAGCCCTGTCCATCCCGTTGTTAAATCCCCAATTTTAATTGCACCGCGCCGAAGCTGCGAGATTGTTTTCCGATTTCCCTGGGGCTCCAATTACTTGAAAGGCAGGTTGCTTGAGTCACCAGTAGTTACTAGTCATATAATAATATATACCCTTGGAACCATTATGACCTATTGCCTATACCATGTCGGGGGTTCTTTATTGTAACTACAGTATAGTATAGTATAGTATGGTATAATGGGCCCCAAAACCCTATTCTAATTTTTCAGGTAACGGCAGCCCTAGGGTCTGCCAACCTTGAGTGAACTCACAAAATTCATCCCACGGCTTTCATAACCTACCATTTCATAGGTCATACCCTGCAACTCAGGGGTCAGTGCCCGTACACTATTCACCAGCGCCTTGGGTTACCGACCCTGAAGGTCGAAGTACTAGCACAGAAGACTGATATATAGAAGCAAGCGCTCAACTATCACGTGCGTGGTGTCTGTAGAGCCGGAGGAAAAATGAACTGTAGACGAAAGCAGTACTCTGCGATCACATGTGGTGACTATGCCTGAGAATAATCAACTCTACATGAATCAAGTGCAGAAATGCTAAACCCTAAACTGACCCTAAAATAAACCCTAACCCCTAGAGACCTTAAACCGTAGACCCTAAACCCTAAACAGACCGTAAACCCGAGACCCTAAACCCTAAACTCAGCAAGGCGAAGCAGATGGTTTTGGTTGGCGATCACTGCCAGCTTGGGCCCGTGATCATGCAGCTCGGAAGCAATCCATCGGGAACATGGAGAGGATCTAATCCACAGAGTCCAAACCGCGAGAGTGAGAGGGCGGGATTGCAGCTCCAAAGCCTAAACCAGGTTCAGGGTTCAGTGCATCAAAGAGTGAACAAATCTACTGTAATACAACAACAGTAATGATAAGAAGAATACTAAGTCTTGTAGACAGAAATATACACTTGTTGATTAATATAAGGTCTAGTCCTTCGGGTCGCCGGTGGCAGCGTTACTGAAACGATTGAGGAGTAAGAAATCGACCATCAATAACTCCACCGCTTAATGAATTCCTTCACAACCTTCAAGACACCACCGTGCGAAGTTTTCTGCCATGCTTACCCCTCCGAAGGATGCTTTTCGTCTCGAACTCTGGTGTTTCGGCTTTTGCGGAAGGGGTCACTTAGGTATACTGGACTTGTAGTTGCAGCCGAAGTCCAGGGGTGACCTTAGCCGCACGGCTCCTGACGTATGAATCCCAACCGAAATAATGGACTGCCCATAAAATTTTGGGGTTTCGTTATTTTCGGGCCCCAAAAGCCTATTCTATGTTCAACCAACTGCAAACCGTCCTCAGGTGCAAGAAGGCTGCGAAGGCAGGGCTTCATCAGAGTCTCTTTGCCACTTGGCTCGGCTCAGGTCTTGGAGTCAGAAAGCCCATGGTAGCTTGGGCACAGGTGCTAAGGCTGACGGTATAAACCTTGCCTTACCCGTGATAAGCAATATACCATAGTTCCATAGTCTAGGGTCATGAATTAAGGTAATGCAGGACTTATACCATCAGCCGTAGTACTAAACCCAGAGCCAATGGGTAATCATACTAGGAATATACCATAATTCTCATAGTCTTGCGTCGTTATTTAAGGTAATGCAGGATTTATACGATCAACCGTAGTATTAAACTCACCGCCAAAAGGCTGGCTAGCTCATGTAAACCTAAACCCCAGCAGCCCCAACTCCTGTCCTGCTAGCTGCTACCTTAAACTCCCAGAAAAGTCGTAAACTTTGAGACGTCAACTGAACCCTGCGAAAAAGGCGAGAAGAGCCCTGAAGCCAAGAGCCCTAAATCCCAGAAAGAAGGATTCAGCCCTCTACGGTAAACCTCCTCTGAACCCGCACACCCTGAAGCCGCCAACCCTGAGGCCCTAAACCCAAAACGCCAGACCCCCAAATGTAGTATAGTGCAGTATATTATAGTAACTCTAGTATAGTGTGTACTGTAGTATAGCATGTAATATAGTGACCAGGAAGCCATGTACAACCTTCAAACCATAGACGCCGGCAAGCCACAACCCGTAGACCCTTTTCCGGCACCCACCCCTCTCAAAAAGGAGGTCAACAAAAGCCTTAAAACACCGTACATAAACGAGGCTAGCGGCCAGTGCATCAAACTTTTTGCAACCCGTAAACCATAAATGCCCAACAGTCACAACTCAAACACCTTCTTTGGGCACCCCCCTCCCGAAAAGCACAGGCCGACAAACCCCAAACCAAAAAAGCAACCCGAAACACCCAAACAAAAGCCACAACAAAGCAACAAAGGAGCGGCTGATCTTCCTTGGCGTTCGGCCAGTCCGCTTGGAGGCTGTGCGGAGTCAATCGAAAACACGTCAAGAATTGTCTAGCATAGTTAGTTCTTGAGGAGTCACGACACGACATGTGGTGTTTGCAGTACGAGCTCTGTACGCTGGAAAAAAGCAGTTGGGCGGAAAATTCATAACGGGTCTGGAGCCATGCCTGTGTCTAAGCCATTTGGCCCTGAAGCCTAAACCCCAAACCCTAGGACTCTAAGGACTCATATATTAAGGCCTTTCGGCCCAAATACCACACTATATAAGGATTTTGTGCTATTTTGATGCCCAGCAAAACCTGAAAAAGCTTAGATGCCCCAAAGATCAAAGTCCAAGAGCGCTAAAGCCCGCACCTCCGCCCCAGGTGCAGTACCGCATGCATCCCTGCCTGTCGGAGTTCCCGTCGCAGTCCTTTTACGACGGCTCGCTTCAGAATGGGGTCACCCTCAATGCTCCTTGGGCCTCTAAGGTTCTAATGTTGTGGTCTATAGACTATGGCCTCCTTTAGAATTATTTTTGTTAGAGAAGTTAAACGTACTATTTTTACTATGGTTCTCGGGGGTACAGTAGAGCCCTGTAAGCCCTGAACCCTACATCACGTGCCTTCATGCATATTTCTTCTTGTTTTTGAATGTAGTCGTGCTGCAAGGCCAAGGTGTGTATTAAATGGCTACATGGGCTCTGGAACTAGAACGAACACGTGCATATGGAAAGGCCATTTCGCAAGCCCTGGACTGCAAACTCCATAAACCCTAAACCCTAAACTTACTCTAGTGCCTGTTTGCCAAGGCATTGGTCGGTTTAGGGTCTAGGGCCTAGGGGACCCACTAGTGTATGCACCTTCCAAAACCCCTGGTTCTCAACTTATCAGTTGCGTCAGTAGAGTCGAGCAACCGAGCATGCCCTCAGGTTCAGTTTGACACAAGGGTCCACGAGTAGAGACTTGACAATCCATATCAACAAGTCGCTGCGAGCTTGCATCTTTGGGGATGAGCCCTAAAGCGAAAGTACATGAACCTGGCCTACCCCAAAATTAGATTTCTGAAGGCCGCCATCGAGCGTCGAACCCTGAACTTCTGAACCTATCCTGTTTGCTCTTTACACCCTAAGCCCTAAACCTACGCTGAGGGCTTGCTGGATCTTCTTTCGAGTCAAAGGTGCATGCATTTTCCAGAAGCATTTTTCTCAAAACCCCAAGAACCGACCTGTTTAGGGTTCCTTATCATGATTTCCTTACATAAGTCCCTAAAAAAGAGGGTTATGTCGGGTCCAAGTATACCCAAAACCCGAGCCCGAAATTCACTGCAATCCAAGGAGCGTCTTTACGCCGGTATCGAATTCCCCTGGCCCCGGCCCGACATGCCAATGCGTCTCTGCCGAAGGGAAGGGCCGTCATCGGGTTTTGGCCTTCGAGGTTTCCAGTTCGTAATGAGTGCGGCGTATCAGTAGTCAGAATAGTATGAGTATCACAGTGGTAGCCTAGCAAAGATAGGAATAACATAGTCGGTATCCCAATCGTGGTGACAGGAGTTTAGGTTTAGGGGCTTTGGGTTTGTCGGGCCTTAGTCCGGTTTCGAGTTGTGGAGTTTCCGAAAATAGGAACGATAGGAACCCTAAATAGCAGGATCCTTATTATAAGGACTCCAACATAAGGTACCCCTAATTTTCGGAAACTCCCATATCGAAGCTCCGATATCGCCAGCTTTCGCAGTTCTTTATGAATTCTGGAAAGATTGAGAGGAGGCCGCTGTAATATAGGGGGCTTAAATTTCTATGCTATTTTGGGGGGTCTCTTAGCATTATTATGGCATAATATACCCGAAAGCCCTATTCTAATAATTCAGGCCCCTATACTAGCCTCAGTGCTTGGGTGCAAGTTTAGGGCGTCGGGTTTGGGGGGGTGCTGTGGTGCTTATGCCTCTGAAGCATATACCTTGGCATTCAGTCTAACATGAGGGAAACCTTTGAAGGCCACAGCGTGGGAACGAATCATACTGGTTTCTTTGACTTATTGTTTTCGCGAGATACCCTTAGCTTTAGGTCCCTGGGGCCCAATAGCTCGAACATTCCCAGCTGAAAGCGTGAGGGCTTAGGGCTTGAGCTGTTATTTTAGGCTTGAAGCTGCGGCTTCAAGTTTGAGGATTTCGCATGTCATGAAAAGTTGTTGTGGCTGCATGCAACTGGCCAAAGAATAGTATCAACATCATGTCTGATAGTGACAGCTATGGCACTAGGGTTAGGACAATGAACCTCTCATACTATAGAATCCTAACTAATTGCCCATATTGTTATCTAGGGTTCCTTATTATTATACTTATACTACACAGGAGTCCAAAGCCCTATTCTAGTTACTAAGGCCCCTACATTGTCTTGCTGGCAGGTTCTTCCTGAACTCCACGGGAGCAGAGGAGATTTCAGCGTCCGGAACGTCCTACTTGAACCGCACGGAGGCCCCGTTCCGATATACTGGTCGAAAGAACTGTTTATGATATCCCTTGTAGGCGCTTTTCATACTATAGAATCTGCCCCAAAACTACCTACAACCTCAAAACCTGAAGCCCTCTAACCCCGGAGCCCCCCGAACCCTAGATCCTATCTCCAAAGGCCCGAAAACTCGAAATGTCAACGAGGCAAACGCATTTAAGCCCTCGTTCGATGTTCGACAGTTACACAACCCGAGTTTTGTTCAAAAGGAAAAAACGCACGCACGATCTAATATAGGGGCCTTAATACAGGGGTTCGGGGTACGTTATTACTATACTATTGTTATAGTAAATAAGCCACAAAATAGCATCGGCAACTAAAATTTTATCCTCGATAGTACGGCCGTCCACGGCACCTCCCAACCTGACAAGGCGACCAACATCGAAAAGCTCGTCACCTACTTCCTGAAGTCGGGTGTGAAGCCCTACCAGGTCCAACAGCTTTCCGAGGTTTGACCTATTTCTATTAACTCGAAATTAGTACAATTACTTGCACTAATTACTACCATAACGGCCACTAATATTATTATCGAATACTATCATGACCTGTCCTGCTGCTAGTGCAATTACCCTAAACCCTACACCGCAAACCCTCAACCGTGCAACCTTCATCGCCCGTGTCAAATCTCACTCAAAGCTTGGGGGCTCAAGCGCGCTCTCGGCTAAGCCGGCTGCTGCCGAGGGTCTTCAGCAATAAACGGAGCGACCCTAAGCCCTAACCCCTAAACCCTAACCCCTACACCCCAAAAACCTTAAACATTCTAGAACCGCGATGACCAAAGGGGAGCTTTTTGGGGTGACCTGGGACAGGCGAGGAAAAAGGCAGCTTCATATAACTATACAGCTATAAACCAACAATCATAGATATTAACATCAAATAGAACGTGTGAAGGTTTTAATATCAATTAGAACTCTTTGGTTTAACGTGATCATTATATTCTTATTCTAGGAATCTAGGCCTTGAGCAGCCGTCACGCAGACTTTAAGTTTCTAGGTTATGGAGCCTTTGAAATCCAAAGGCAGGCCGAATCCTCAAAAAGACCCCATCTGCCCTAAACCTCGAACCCTGAACCTTAAACCCTAAACCCTAAGCCCTGAAAGCATGCCGTGCCATGGCCCTCGTGTTCGGACGGCACTCGAGGAATACTCGAGGACACGCCAGGAGGAAGGCGTCGGAAGCCACATGGGTAGTTCTCTGAAGTAGGTCCCCTCCTTTGGGGGTTCCTTAAGGGGATCTATAAGCGTACTATGAAGGGTAGTTCTCTTTGTGCCCTAAACGGGAAATAAGGGCTTCTATAAGCGTACTATGAACGGTAATTCTCTTTATTAGGGTCCCTTTCTTGGTGGTTCCTGGAAATGTAAGGGTTTCTATAAGGGTACTATGCAGGGTAGTTCCTCTCACAGGGAGCCTTCTTGTCTTCTTGCCGTAAAGCCGTCAAATCGATCTAGACTCAGCGAGCTGAGGATAGTGTTGCTGTAGTTTGAGGTTTCGGGGGTTTGGAGTTCTGGGATTTAGGATTTAGGGCTTAGGAAGATTCTGGGGTCCTTGCCAAGTGACCAAATCCAACCCAAACTGGCTTGGGGGTACTCCCTCTTCCTGGCTTGGGGGGGCGGGCTCGTGGAGGCTCGTGTGGTGCAGTGAAGCTAGGATTGAAGGGCCCTGCTTGTCGAACTGTTGCCGGAGCCCTAATGACACCGAAATGGCGGCAGGGAACATGCTGTGCGGCAGAGAGCACCAGTGCCACCAACCACCACCACCACCACCAAGGGGCGGGAGAAAGAAGGAAGCGCCTTCTATAGACAGGCTTTGACAGTGCATCGCCAAAGTACGATGCACTCGACACAACCTTGTCTCAAGATGCAACAGCCGACGTGCTATTCCACGACAAACCCTCAGCCCAAACCCTAATCCTAATCCCTAAACCCCCCAATCAAAAAATTCACAGAGGCGGTGCCAAGGACAGGCCATGTCTGCTCGTAGGGGCTGGAGTGTTTAGGGTATCGGATGTTGGGTTTAAGTGGTCTCGGATTTATATAGGATTTAGAGAAATTTATGGCAGGTTTAAATGGAGTTTGGGGTTCAGGCTGTTGCTCCCGTAATTTCGCGCATGGGCGTTTGAGCTGAAGGCTGAGGCTTTTGGCTTTCCAGCATGGCTTCCTGCTACAATCGGGAGGGAAACCGATTCCCCTCAGCTGTATTGATCGAAAGCTTTTTGGTCAGAGCGCAAAGGACTTATTACAATCACTTTGTGTTCCCCATAAGCCCTAAAGCGCCAGCCCTACACTCTAAACTACAAACCGTCGCGCTGATCCCCACGTCGAAATCTCTGAAAGTCATGGTCTCGCGATCGAATCTTTCCGAGAAGGCGATGCCAGCAACATGCTGTTCCCCATGTACACCTTGCCGGTGAAGGAGCTCTTCCAGATGACGAAGATGCTTGGTCGGATACCATACAGAAGCCCTAGCCCCAAACAATACACCATACACCCTCAAGCACCTAATGCTGAGGTCTGAAAGAATTCGCCCTTTTTCCCGTTGTTAATATTTCAAGAATCCCCACCGTTGTTGCCTTATGATGGTTCAGGCGGGGTGGGGCGCGGTGGTGTACCCACTGTGGCCAGACACCCTGTGGAGCCCTGTAGAGGCCTTCTCTATTTTAACAACCCTTACTGCACCTAGGCTGTAAACCATCAACCCTTAAGCCCGTGCGGGCTGAGCATGGGGCGTTGGGTGGTTTGGGGCGTCGACCTCACCCCACCCCTTGGCCCGGGGGTTATTGAAGTCAGGATTTATCGGGTCTTCGCAGATTTTCCTCGCAACAATGAAAATCCTCCTTGAACCCGTCCGTGGCTGGCCCACGGCAATATATTTGCAAGCCCTGAGAACGTCAACAGCGGTCGGAATTAATGGAAACAGAAGTCCCCCATATGCCCCGATGGTATCGTTGTAAGTCACAACAATGCTTACTACGTCTCCAGTAGGGTTCTGTGAGGTTCTAGGGACTGGACAGTCTCAAAGACGAGGACTAGTACTACCACTACCACTACTCCCACAACGACTTCTTCAACCACTACACTTTCCAATGCGATCACCACGACGACGACGACGACGACGACAAGGACGTCGACGACGACTGCTGCTACTACCGCTTGCTACTGCTACTGCTACTGCTACTATCACTGCCACAACAGCAACAACTACTAGTACTACTGCTACTGCTATTGCTGTTACTGCTACTGCTTGCCTCTGCCTCGGCCTCTGCTGCTGCTACTGCTAGTTCTACTACCAGTACTACCACTCTTACCACCACTTCTACTGTCCAGTAGGTTTGACACCTCACATGGCCTCAGGGGCCGCACGCAAGGGACAGTTCGTTCCGCGGAATCTGCACAGACCAAGACGTGGAAGGGCATGTTACCATCAAAGGATTCAACAGAGGTGTTGACTACCATGAGAACAGCTCGTATACTCAACACTTTGTTTGTTTTTTGCCCGACAGATCCGTTACTCGGAACAATTTCACCTTGGGTTCTTCTTGGGCCCACGCCAAGGACCGTGAAAACCAGAGCTTGCCTAGAAGCCGAGATGGCATGTCGCCCACCACTGCCCATAGGCCCCATAGTAGTTCCTTTTGGGGGTCCCAAAAAGGAACTACTATGGGGCCTATGGGTAGACCCTAAGTCTTCAACCATGCTCAGGATCGTCAGCCACGAGGAACTATTGTCCAAAGGGTTGCTGGTTCAGTTCGACACCAGCAACACGCCGTGCTTTCGTGATGTTCTTGTCATTCAAAGGATTTTTGGGCTTCAGCCCTTTACACTGTGGGACTGTATGGTGTATACGTTTACAGCTGAGGGCTGAAAGGTACTCGTCCGTGGTGGTTGTATAGAGATTGCATGGTGAATTCGGGCTCGGGAAATAGGTTGGTACCGCCCAAAGCCTGGGGCAAAGAAGCCCAAAAGGCTTCATGCGACTTCGCATGAAAGCTTTCGGCCAAACCGTCCTCCTTCCTCGTTGTAGGCAAAGGTTTCGATCAGGTTTTGGGGTTCCGATGACTGTTCCGATTAGGATTCCAATGAGATTTCTGATTGCGGTACACATTTGGGTCCAGAATAGGCCTTCTAGAAGGCTTCCGAGGAAGATTCCTGTGAACGGTTTGCGTTCCGCTTATGGTTCCGAGTAGGCTGCGTATCAGAGCTATTTCGTATTAGGGTTTATGATAAGAACCTACCATAAAGTAGCTTTTGGTAGGTTAAGGGTAATGCTATGGGGACCTAAGGGTGCCGGAGTAGCCTGCTCCGCTTCAGCATGCTCGAACTGGAGGTGCTGAACCCTAAAGCCCAAACCTTAAACCCCAAACTGCCCCACATCCTTTAATATATAGAAGCTCTGTAGCCCTATAACCCCCACAAGCCCCAAAGACAAACCCAGAACTATAAAGCCTATAACCCAAACACGAGGTAAGGGCAAGGCCGCCTTCATCTCACATCAATGGGTCGGAAGTGACCACCCGGATCCCGGTTTCGAGCAACTGCGCGTCCTGCAGCCCCTGGGCCGAACCACCACAGAATCCCTTGGTCTGCAGATGGGTGGTTGTCAAAATTAGGGTCCCTTTTTGGGTCCTTATTCTAATACGGACTATTTAGGGTACCCAAAAAGGGGCCATCATTTTGACAACCACCCAGATTCAAGGGAGCTAGCAAGGAGGGTTATATGATGTCTAACGTCAGTGCAGTGATGTTTGCTGATTAACCCCATAACCCATAGGCCCCATGGTAGTTCCTGTTTGGGGTTCAGATTTAGAATCCTATTAGGCAATCCCCAAAAGGAACTACTATGGGGCCTGTGGGTAAGGACCCCGCAATCTGAAGCCACAGCTTCGGACGCGGGTCGGCTTCAGAGCTTTGAGCCTTGGACCTCAGCTCTGACGGGTTGTCAACACAATCCTATTAAAGCTCAAAAAACTACCCATAGGCCCCATAGCAGTTCCTTTGTGGGATTACCCAATAGGATTCTAGATATTATGAACCCCAAAAAAGAACTACTATGGGGCCTATGCGTATGGTACAGTCCCCGAAAACCCTGAACCTCAAAACCCTAAACCCTGCTTGAATCTTCCAATAAGAAAGTCCGATGCTCGGCAGACACTAAGACCTGTGAGCCGTGCGAGTTTCTTCAGCTCGAAGACACCACAGTGTTGCAGCCACTAATTTCGGTTTTGGGGTTTGGCGGTGTGGGGTTTAATCGATCTTAAGATTGTAGGAGATTAACAAGTTATGGAGTGGGCGTTGACACTTTAGCGGTTTGTGGTGGGTTCAGGACTTAAGCCCACATGGGAAGATGCACATCTGAGTTCTTTCAATCCTGAATATCACCAATGGACCAGGCGCACAAAGTTCGTAGGTCTGAGACGGTCGTAATCATGGCAGTA